TGAGGTATGGGGTATGGGGTATGGGGTATGGGGTATGGGGTATGGGGTATGGGGTATGGGGTATGGGGTATGAGGACTAGCACTACTATAAATACTAACTAACACATGTATGTAGTGCCACTAATATGTAAGTACACATGTAAATCAAACATGTAACAAAGTAATCCTAGTACTGCACACCATGCATAAGCCTCGCTGGGTTGCAACTTTGAACAATGAAATATCAATATCTGGGAAAATGAACTGAAGATGTTCATAGGCACAGTCTGTGAGTTCATCTTTGGTCAAGTCCTATCTATCAAAGCTCAGCCAATGCAAGCATTGGCTGAGCTTTGATAGATAGGGGGCAGGCCCAGAAATTGGCGAACTCCCCCAAAAAACCCTTGAAACACTTCATATTACGGTGTAATAACTGTATTGCATACTACTACCATCTAATATATACCTGTTAGAACCCTCATTAGCCTCCAAGTTAGCATATTGAAGACACCAACGGGTTAAGCAAGAGCTTGCCGGGATTGGGCGGCGGACACAATGAGCAGAGACGTGGATGAGCCTCGCGTACGTCTACCGTTTGCGCCATGTTGATAGCATAAGAGGCACGAACGGTTACCGTTCGTGCCTTACGCACCCATTGCCGACGTGCATTCCTGCTTGACGCGGAGCCATGACCCGCCTGTCCCCTGCCCTCCTGCCTCCCACCAACGGTCACCGACCCCCCTTTGAGGACGCCGCCGAGGGAATATCCCTGGGCTTGAGGGGGTCGAAGGGCGCACGCGACCAGTGGATGGGCCTCGCGGACGGGAGTCGGTGATACCCACGAACGGTAACCGTTCGTGCCATGTCACCAATCTCAATCTCTCCCATCCTCCGCTCGGTTGCTCCCCGTCCACACGTGATGTGTACTGCGGTTTATACGGATGCGCCTGCCGAACTGGAACCGTTCGTGGCCTTCGCGCCCGTCGATAGCATAAGTGGCACGAACGGTAACCGTTCGTGCCTTAAGCGCCCCTCGTGGACGCCCATACCTGCTTGACGTGGAGCCACGACCCGTGTGTCCCGTTCGTCACGATTTGTCTCGTCCATTGATATCCCTCGCAGACGGGAACCATCCGCCACCCTTTGCTTTGTCATCCCTCGCGAACGGGAACCATTCGTCAGAGTCGGCACGTAGTATTCCATCCTCCTGTCCCATCTAACCCCCTGCAGACCTCCCGTCCCACCATCCTCCTCTGACTGTGCGCCACACTCGCTGAACGATACCCGCACATCGCCGGAATCACGTTTAACGTCCTTATATGCGCATGATTCCCCCTCGAGCACGCTCTGAGAACCACGACTGTGGGCGAGGGCACCAAGGGGGATGTAACACTGCCGTAAGTGTGAAGACGGAGGTAGGACGGGAGCTTAGGACGCGCCAGCTGTTGACGGATTGCGCAAGGAGGCCAGGGGCAGCGAGGAATTCGATGGGGCCTGCTGGAACTCGATGTCGGCGGCTTACGGGCGGGCTAGAATGTAGACACGCGGAGGCGATGAGCTGCGTGCACCCATCATCGTCTCCTGGTCGCCAGAGCGTCCCAGTACCCAACGAACTCTGTAAAGCAACCTGTGAGTACGTCGAAATAGCCCGCGAGGCGTGTAGTTCGCTAGACATACCTCCTTGTCCCCAATTTGCACTGTCTCGTCTTCTACGCCCCTCCACGCGAGGCATCTGGACCCATCACGACACCTCCAACACCCTTGGCCCTAGAGCGCATATCCAGGAAGTAACCTAAGCCCAAGATCAGTCAATGGTACGCTGCTAACCTCCGGGACTTGCCTCTGAACCATAGCTCTGAGTGATCGCACGATCGAGAGGATCCGAGTACACAGCTAGCTTCATTTGCACCTTGGTATTTGGAGTTTCGGTTCCACGCGCCGCGGTGACAAGGTGGCCATGATCCCGTAGTCGCGACTCCTCCCAACCCCCTCGCATTCTATCTCCTGTAATCGCCATCTCCCATTCCCGCGCTTGTATCGTAATTGCAAGCTGGCGAGGTGGCAAACTGCCTTGACTTGTAGCGGGCGTGCTGGATGGGCATGGTGTTTTCGACTGACGTATTCGACTTATCCCTTGGTCGTACGTTCGTTCCCTTGCGATCCTGAGATTCGGCCCCACCCCCATTTTGTACGCCCTCGTTGCGCGCGCAAGTCGATGTGTACGTTGGTCCAGCTGCTTCTTCCGACAGCGCTGGCTGGTGGCTGCTTTGGTTGATCATACCGCTGGCGTCGGAGTGCGCATGGATGTGAGGGCCGCGTGCCGGGACTGTGGGCACAAGACGCAGGTGAGTAGCCGTGCTGTCCCGGAAGACGTGTGAGCAAACCTAAGTTGTCGCTGGCGCGTTCGCTTCTCGTGGTTCGGTATGTGATCCAGTTCTTCCCCTACGCCCACGTCTCCTAGTCCTCCCTTCGTGGTACAGCCGCTGCAGCCGTCGCTGCGAATGAGCTGGTCGTCTTCGGGCTGTTGGAGAAGGCCTACTGCGTGCTCCGCAGTGTCGGCAGCAGGCACTCGACGAGGTTTGGGATGCAGCGGGATGTTGGGCGTTGATACGGGATCCAGTCGTCGTCGTTGCCGTCTACATTGTCCTCGCTATCGTCGTGGTGCGTGTTGAAGGAAGCAACGGAGCGGACTTCGATCGCGCACGTGGCTTTGGTTTGAGCGCCAATAATGCGGGGCAGCCCCGCCCTCGATCGTCCTCCCTCGATATTCTTCTTCTCGCATGACTGACTCGCGAACTCCCGCCCTCCATCGTTCTCCTTCGACATCGTGGACCACACATGCCAGGGAAATGCAGTTGGCATGGTTGGGTAAGCCAATAGGTAAGTATTCCATTTCCTGACCCTCGTCCTCCCTCACATCCTCACTCTAGTACCCTCACAGCGCCATGGTGTAGACCGGCGAACTTGAATTGCAGGACGTGTCTGAGGCAACGGCTGCAGGGTAAGCACGACCCCATGGCTCTCAAAGATCAGTTCAGTGCAGACTCACCTCAACACCAGCTGCCCTTGTCCACCCTACTGCCGGCCATGCACCACCCACTTGCCTCCCGGTTCACGAGGCAAGAGGCCCCAGCCTCCGACACCACCAGCCGCAACGTCTACGACGCAGGATCCACTTTCCTACACCTGAACACGTTGCGCCGCAACTGCGAACCCAAACGACAGCGTACCGGGACTACACAATACCATCAACGGCATACGCACCTGGGCATAGCATGGTACTGCCTATCCCTACCCACAGCCCGACAGAAGCCCATCAACGTCTCCCGAGCCCATAATACCGCCAACATGGCCTACGACGATGACGACGAGGCAAGATAATCGCTGAGACACCAGTAGCACGCCGACGCGAGACGAACGAGCGAGGGAAAGACGAACATCAGTCGTTGGCATAGGCGTAGGAAGGGGATAGATGAAGGTCGGAGGCAGGGAGAGCCAGCTAGGCACTGGCGTCGACAATGAGAAGACCAGACAGCAGAAAAGAATGTGAGTACCCGTCTCAAAGTAATGGAGATACACTCACCACGATATCCCCCCAACGCCACTGCGCCCGTCCAACTACCTTGCACCCACTCCGTGTGACGACCTGACAACGCCTACGGCACCCCCGCGTCTTCTCCATCTGCAACCCTCAGCGTCGATAACGTCGTCCCGAAGCACGCAGTGTCGCACCCAGCACTCAACAACGGCGACGACACGTGGCCTGCTGGAGTAGCGAGGACGCAAGGACGGTGGGGAATGGGCCAAGTTAAGAAGGGGTAGGACGGCGAGGGGCTGGCGTAGACGACGACGACGACGACGACACAGCGCAGGGCTGAAGGAGGTGGGTCCCAGCAAGTCCAGAAACATCGCCACCCACCAGGTTATCGCCCCAGCAGCATCCACGCTCCCCTTCCCGTCCCTCTCGCACCCCATCGTCGACGTTATGCACAATCGACCAGGTCTCGTGGCGTACTTGCCCCCCTTCCACTACCGAGACGCATCGGGACCGCGCCCCTTTGTCAGTGGAGCGCCTCGTCGCAAGGCTTCAACGCCACCGAATATGTTGATGGCGTATCGTCGGTATACATTGACGACAAGGTCGCCTCTCCATCCAAGATGGATTCAGTCAGCAAACCACAGCGGAGTGGGACCCGGGGATGCGGGTTAGGGATGTGGCCGGCCTTCGCAGGCTGGGATGGGGGTATGGAGATCCCGCAGCGTTGTCTGCGGCGAATGGGGGTACTATATCGAGATCGTGGACAGCGTGTATACCAGGTCAGCCTAAGTGTCGTTGATTGGCGCGATTTTCACTAATACATCAGTATGAATGCATAGAATGACTCAAATTTCATTCTTCCCTCCCCCCACTCCCTGTCGACGTGTCCTTGTCCTTCCTTGTACGCGCAGTCGTTTCCCGCCTCGTCAAGCTCCGTCGTTTCCTCGACGATCCCTGCTCGCTTCTCGCAATCGCTGAAGCCCCTACCACCTTAAGCTCGACTCGAGGGATTCCTGGCTTGTCGACACAGAATGGGGTGGTAGAAGAGTTTTGGCCCTCAACCCGTTCGGAGCCGCCAATTTGCTCCTTTCTCCCTTCACTCAACCGCCCTCCATTGGGCTCGAACGCAAGCCGAAGGCGCGGACTTTCCCGCCCTCACCAATGTTTCTACCGCTTCGACATCCTTGACGACGTTGATCGTGCGCGACATCTGTATGTGTCAGGCCACGATACGTGGACACGAGGCCAGGGCCTCGGGCCCTCAGCCACCATCCCTTCCTCAATCACACGCCCTCCCGCGTCCAGTATCCCCTCCAGTCGTTGCTTGCACACGCATTCACCCCGCCCAGCGTCCCTGCACATCGTCTTTCCACTGCCACTCACCCAATCGACATCCCCGCGTTCTCAATCAAATCCTCCGACTCTCCCTTCAATCTCACTCACTCACCCCACGCCACCTGCGCCCAATTGGACGCGCCATCCTATGCCGCCTTTCCCGACGGACTGGAGGGACCCGTCAGCGGTGTACCCTCCTGGCCCGGCCGCGCCTATGTATGAAATACAGCAGCCCTGGCAAGACCCAATGCGCCAAGTATTACCGCAAGCTTGGGCGGACCCCGAGCGGTCAGATACCGGGAAGATTGAGTATACGGTCGTGGGCACCCGCAGGCCGAAGCCTCATTGATTTGACTGGACACTCGATTCAGGAGGGCTTGTGATGAATGATTGCGTGCAGTTACGAGCGCTGTCGTATTTAGTGCTCAGTTTTCAATTGTATGGGTTCCATTTCGCGTCGTATCGCCCGCTCGACCCTAAGACGTCTGATCAAAGAGGACAGGCACCGATAGACCAGCCAAAACGAACACCTTGGTTGCAAAGTCACTCTTGGTTCGTCACCGCGATTATGGATGAAGCGTCTAAGCACGAGCGCGGCGTCGATCTGGGATGGTTCTTCTTCCGCCTGCGCTACGAGGACAGATCCAAACGCAGGAACTTCCAGAACCTGCGCTTGCTGCTTGTGTGGGGGAACTGCGTCACGGGCAAGGAGAAGTGCACGGTCGCGGATATCTTTGAGGAATTGCCAGGATTGGAGTGTTTCGAGGCGATGATGGATGATGTGAGGTGCACGCGTGATGCGAGGGACGGGACAACTCGGGTAGTTCGGTGGAGGTGCCAGAAGAACGAGGCGTGGCGTCGTGATTGGGCGAAGGGTGTATCGACAGTAGACCCTGATTCGCCTCTTATCCTGTTCAGCGACCTTTGGTGCCAGTGAGTTCTTGAACCTCATCACTGTGAGCGCGTGCCTACCCATTGCATTGCCACTACAACTATTCAGGTCCAATATCTGGTGGCGGCGTTCCCTCTTGCATACGCTCTCAGTCCATGTTGACTGTAATCCGCAAATGTGTTCGCGATTATGCAAAGATTGCGGACTATATCGGGTACTATCGTATTTTCGTATGATATGATAATGTGTCGGTATAACCTCTATCCGCGTGTTTGCCGTTGGGTATAGACCGATGATTGTACGTCCAAAATGATGTACTCTGTGCGCTGGAGGTATTTCGGACCCGGTGTTATACAGAGTTGCCATTGGTGGTTTATGGCAGGGGTTGCGTGTTAGTCAAGTCGAAAGCACAGCGTTCAAGTGCGAGAGGAGAGTGGAGCCGTCTCGGTGGCGTCGGTCTCTTCGTATACAGTAACCGTGTCTGCTTCCATCTGGGAATGTCTTCTCTAGCTCTCCAGCAAGTATCTGGACTGAGAAGTAACCGTGGTGCGCGTGGAAGTCTCGGAGTTGCTTCGGAGATTGTAATACCTGGGATGTTGGAGCCGACAACGGAAGCGCCCAGTTCACAGTGCCACCATGACGTCCACTCCAAAGACACCCCGACATGTTACAGCCGTTGCTTCCCTCAAACTCAAACCACCACCATGTCTCCAATAATCCCAGTTCGCTGCGTCGTCTTCCCGAGCGCCTTCACCAGGGCCTCATTTGCTCGATTCATGAGTTCTGGAGCTTCGTCAAAAAGTACGCATACATCCACCCAACTATGCTCATCGTTGACGGTTCGTAGATCCACTAAAGCAGTCTAAGAACGCTGGTAAAGAAGCCCGAGAAAAATTGAACAACCCCGTCGACGCCGTGTCTCCACAACACATGGAAAAGCCGTCCAAAGATGCGACAGGGAACAAGGAAGGGATCGGTATGGTTGATCAGGTTGGGAGCCAGAGTTCGACTGCCAAGAAAAATCAGGGAAAGTCGTCAAAGTAGCGGAGGTTACTGGGATATTCAGCGGTTGACAGTGTTCATTGTGAGTGCCCGGATCGTGTGCAGAACCATAACGAAGTTGACGGTCTTTTCGATTCTAGTCTTTTTGTCCCTGTGTATATCAGTATATGAGAATCGATATCCGTTGTTCCTGACAATGAATTTCGGGATGATATAGTTCTACAACGTGCCTCCCGAGTACCCATACTCTAGCGAAGGGGAGGCAAATCGTATATGCGCATCCTAATAGTGTGCGTACATGAATGGTCCTTGGTTTCTCGACGGCGTCTCTACGTTTCATGCACTTTGACGGAAGTCACAAAATTGGCACGAAAACGAGCTATATGCTGCATCGGCGCATGTCTCTAACAAGGAGGGCATACGTGGTGTTTGGGAGTATCAATACACTGCCTGGCCCATGGTACGTCCTCCGAAAATGATGATCGCAGGACACGACAGCTATCCTCAGATTCCTCAGATCAACAAGCTACGCGGACAATTCTATAGTGGTCTTCGGACAAGGGCATGCTTAGAGCAAGAACTCTCCAGGACGACATCTGGGTTTCGAGTACAAGGTTGATAGAGCCTATATGATGTAGCGACGGCGAAATAGAGTCAATAGAGTGCGTATTTGAATCTCGCGTTTGCTCATGCTTCTCGTCCCAATTGCAGATTTCTGACCCCGGTTGATCGTGCTCTCCTCTGGCCATGGAATAGGCTATATTACGTTTCCTGACGGAGCTGACCATTCGATTCTCAGCGCTCGTCCCTCCACCTCCTACGCCGATTGCGTACTAGATCGGAAGGGCGTTGTCCTACCTGCAGTGACGATGCTGCTCTCGCTACCGCTTTGCTTCACGCCTGCTTGCTATCTTGCTCAAAGATTCCAGCACATACGCCTCGTCGTGCCGGCATGTTTGCGTCTCTTATCTTATGAATGCTAATGTGGCTATCGTAATGGATCATCGAGAGCCATCAAATACCATGCATCCCCTAATAGCATGCTTCAAGGCCTCTTGTACCCCCATTGTACTCAGCTGTACTGACAAGGCAGTTGGAGCTTCACGAATTCCCACCGATGTCAGGCCCGCGAGACCTCCATCTTCCTGATTTCTAGGACGGCCCAAACTACGCAGATTACGACGGATACGGCGAAAGATGTCGTACAGTAAGCTGGCCTCCAACGACGGACTGACCGTATTCGACGATCGTGTCAACATCGAGCATGGGGACTACCTTCAGGAACAGTTACTAGGATTGGGCGAGCAGCATCGCCGCAGCCGTGACGAATACTGTATTTCACGATGGTGCACTCGAATCATCAATTCGCCCATAGTCCTTTGGTGTATCGTCCTCCTTCAGTTCGTCACTATCGGCGTACTCGTCTGGCGTACGGATTTACCTGAAGAGAACAGTCTTTTCTGTATGTGCTTGTTCTCTCTCTACCCTATTCACATCCCAAGGTCAATTCCCCCGCTAGCTCCCGCGAATGAGGCTATTTCGTACAAGTACCACCGTTTCTTTAACGGCTTTGGACGCAATGTCTCTCCCTTCCAAGTCCCATCCTCAAAGGAACTCGATGACCTTTGGGAGGACCTTTACAACTGTACGTGAAACCACCATCCGCACTAATTTCTCAGCGATTTCACCCCGACTCTAGTGGGTATATCACGCATCCCTACCTCCCAGGCCAAGCGGCTCCCAAATGCAACGGAGGCCATACCAGGGGACGAAGACAACTACATTGTCGAACTCGACGTCTTCCATGAACTTCACTGCCTAGTGAGTACTTGATTCGCTATCGTAAATGGCTTTCTACCTACCGCCGTTTCACCATGCCATAATCGCATACGCAAAACGCTTTATGCAGACCACTACCCCGACATGCGCCTTTCTCTCCCGGGAAACCAAGCTCATATGAGCCACTACCTCGACTCGATCCGCCAGTCCCTCATGTGTTCGGCGGACGTCAGCCTTATCGTCTGGAAATGGGATGACGAGGCCGGGCAGTCGTTTCCGCGCGGCGATGTTGTCCACCGATGTCGCGACTTTGATAAGATCAAGGAGTGGGCGGCAGAAAGGCAGCTTATGGGGAACTTCAACGCGAGTGTGCATGTGGTGAATGACTTGCCATCGCCGCCGTTGTTGTATTAGGTTACCCACCCTTGTTGACGACGATTCGTCCTGGAAATGATACCCTTGGGGAAGTTTAGGGTTAGACAAAGATGGGATCAAAGGAACGCAGAATACGGAGGTGCGTCGATGTCACTGACCGAGCGAACATGGACTGAGTGTGCATACAAAGGGGGATGTGCAGACGACATCGAGGACGCGCGGACGTGCGGGCATGGGTCCTCGGGAACAGGCTACGCGAACGACCACATCAGCAGCAATGAGGAGACGATGCTGTTAACGGCGGCGGCGAAGCGAAGATGCCAAGGCCAAACGCTATCAACCAACCGCCAAACTTCAACTGCCAACCTCCAGACAGTCCATGATTGGCTACCACGTCGGTGAGCACCTCGTTAGCTCGCTGCTCACCTTACTCACGCACTTGATCACTCAGACGCTACACTTGTCGCTAACTCCTACCCACCTCCCCGCCCGCCAAGCACACCGTGAACGCGGCCCAGAGCGCACCACGACCTTGCCACGCGCCCCAACACGCATCCAACTCCCAAGCACGCCGCGAACGCAGCCCACGGCCCTCCAACGCGTCCTGACGCCCAAGCCGGCGCCGACACACTCTTCAATCTCCACAGTCAGCACCCACGCCCTCGAAAAAAATAATCCTCAACACGACACTGCGGGGGAAACGAAGGAAGCAAATGGGAAAACGAGAACAAGAACGAGAGAACAAAGGAAAAGAAACGAGGTACGCACCCACCTCGTTTTCGCTCGTCATGCGTTTGCGCTGACCTGAACGGGTTTCCACTGTGCAGGCCCTCGTCTGCGTTCGTCTGGAGCTGACACGGCTACACGTCACCCGACGCACACGCACCATCCCCAATGCAACGCAAACTCACCTCCAAAATACCAGCGCCACCACGCCACCTGCCCAACTCATCAACTCACGACGCACGACGTAGAATGCAAACATCCCCAGCGCAAACTCACGCACACAGAACACTGAACGCAGAACCCGGCTCGTGGCACGCCAACGAACGCGCGTTGCGAGCCGAGTCGCGTGGTGCGGGATTCTGATCCCGACGGCCGAACGACCAAACGACCAAATCACAGAATGGTCGGGACCAACGAAGATGCGTGCGTGCGTCTCCACTTCAAGCGTCGAGCATTAAGCTAACGACGAGACCGCAGTACTCAGTGCCCAGCCTCGATGCGCCCTAGGCTCCCGCGCGAGTGCGCGCAGATCCACGTTGGATGCTGACGAGGACGGGTGACGACGCGAGGGGAGGTGGGTGTGGATGCCAACGTGGGCGCGCACTGCCCAGGTCCGGAGACATCACATTATTCCGGCCTGTCGTATGATGCTACCTCCGGTTCAACCCGTGCCGTCGCCCACATCACCTACCTTCCAAACTCATCCTCAACCAAGGGCGAGTGATGCTGGCCTCCCGGTGCCCTTAAGTCCCGCTACGATGCCTAGCTCGCCTACCCAGCCTATGTCACCAGTTGCTTCTGCGGCTGCTACTATCAAACCGAAACAGGTACAGATGCAGGAGGTCGGCGTGCGGCCGCCTACTGGGACTACCAACGCTGGCGGAACAAAGACGATGCCACGAGCCCCTCCAGCAAGCACCCATAGGCAGAGTCACAGTTTGAGGCAGCGCCCAAAGGTCCTGAGAGGCTGGAGTAACATGTTTGGGGGAGGTGAACACGGAGAAGAAGGGCGCAACATCCCTGATGGTCCGCGGACGGCTAACGCTAAGCACCAACACCACGTCAACGCCCTTTCTCATTCACGTCCCCTCACACACGCGCCTACGCAACTCGACTCTGCCAATCCACCCTTTCTCCCTTCCTCTCACAACTCCCCTTCCCCTCGCACACACGATCGTCTGTCAACGCAACGCAACCCTGCCAATCTGCCCCTCTGTTTGTCCCTCCATTTCCTCCCTCTCGCTCCCGCATACATCCCCGTCCTCACTCAGCCACTCCGACTTCCCCTCACCTCACGCACTGCAGCACGCCCACGCCACGTCCCAACACCCAATCCGACGCAACTCTCTCACTTGACCCTCAAAACAGCTACCACCGACTACCAACAGCCTACTACAAACCCACGTCGCCCTCTCTTGTTCCCCGTCGAAGGTGACGCCATTGAGCGTCCTCAAGGCCTCAAGAGCCTCGCACGTCTTCGACGGCAGCAACTCTGCGACCAGATGTGCACCGCCCTTGCGTAACGGGAAGTAGCATAACCAAGGGATCGCCAGCCCCTTCACCAGCGCGCGCGATCGCTACGGCGGAATCTCACTGCGTGTCGTCGTTGGGCAACTGGGCGGGGTGAGGCGTTTGCAGTCCCTTGGGCGGGGGGATGGCGCAACGCGCGGGAAGGCGCCGTATCGGAGCATCGGGATACGCTAGGTCTGGCGCTGGGAAAGCAATACATTGGTGAGTTGTTCCATATCCACGCACGTGAAGTGTTGCTCACCTTGCGCTGCTGGCCAGTGTCGTTTGGTTACCATTGACCTTGTTCCATTCGCGAGCATCCAACCATCCTCTCCCCTCCGTCGCTAAGCCCGCCCGTCCCTCTCTCCTTTGACGTGCCGCTGCCAGAGGAGCATTGACCCTGTTAACGAGATGACTGTGATTATGTTCCTCTCGTTGGTGTGTGTCTCTCTGGCGCATATCTTGCAGCTCGTTCTGTTGGATGGGTGTGGAATGGGAGCTGCCGCCTCTGTACGGCCTTTGCGCGCGAGTAGAGTGCTGGCTGGCGACGTTGCAATGGCCGGGTACGGTCCTCTGCGCTTATGGGTACCGTCGTTCTTCGGTGTTTCGGAGCGTCGTCGGGCGTTGGCTGGAATGAACTTGAGTACGGGACTAGTAGAAATGTAAGTAGTGTACGTACTGGTGCTCCATTCAATCCATTAGATCTTCGGCCATCGGACTGATCAGTCATCTAGATAGGGTCAACATTGCGAGTCAATTACGACAGTGTACATGAGAATGAAGAATCGAGGTGGTCGACTGGTCGATGAGCAGTTGAGTAGTAAGTCCGGAATTACACAACGGAACGGAGCAAACTTCGATCGCTCACGTGGTATTGGTTCGAGCGCCATAGCGCCGCCTTCAAGTCCTCTCGCCGCCAACCAAACGCGCAGAGGCACGAACTTATCCTGGCTGGGCAGGCAATCAGCGTATAAGGTGTGTACAAATTTCGTCTTCTCCTCGCCCTCGTTTCTCCTGACATACGAACTCCAGAGCCTCCCTCGTCGATACGATGTGATCATCAAACAAAGCCGCCATCACCACGACGGGCGAACTTGACTTGCGGCGTGTCAGGAATCGAGAGAACGAGGTGAAAGGGTACAGGTAAGCATGATCATGATGCTCAAACATTAGGCCAGACTCACCTGTTCCCGCAGGCAGCGACATGCCTGAGCCATCATGGAAACACCCTCCATCGACCCTCCCAGCGCACTAGAATAGCAAGGGTCCTAAACCCGGCCGCCCCGCGCAAAGAAAAGACCTTCATACACGGCCACCGCCACGCGATGGACCTCTGCCACAGACCGCCCCTCCTCTTCTCGCACGCGCAACTCCTGCCTCACCCCCAACGACGCCCCACGCGCAGTCCCCCATGTCCGCGCAGGCGACGTACTGCAACACGATGGTCCACCACAACTTCCAGCTCCCGAGCCTCATCTCATGGGTGGACGACATCCACCCGCGCTCGAACGACCCGCCGTGGGCGAACAAGACGGATGAACACATGTTCTGGCGCGGGAGCAACACGGGCCGACATTCAGCGCGGAGACGCTGTGGCGCTACTCGCAGCGCCCGTAGCTCGTGAAGCTGGCGAACGATATGGAGGGCGCTTGAACGGGGAGACAATGCGAACGAGAACGGGGAGATACAGAACGAGGGGGAGGAGGGAGAGATGCACGAACGAAACGTAAGGCGACGCGACGTCAGAGACACTCGCTTCGCCTCACGTCGCCCCGAATCCACATCCACATCCACCACGTCCGCACCCACGTCCCAATATATCCACGCTCCTGCAGTGCCAGTGCAGGTGTGGAGCTGCGTGCTCGCCCCTCCCCCGGGTACGAGTGCGTTTGCGTTTGCATTTGCAGCGAGTCGCGACGGCGCTGGACGCGGTGTGAGGTGTCAGTGAACTGTGTGAGTACGTGTTCAAGGTGGGGAAGTGGGCGTATAGGCTCGCCTGAGTCCGGGTAGCGTAGATGACACTGGTGTGCGGGTATGATGGGGATGTCAATGCTGGGTAAGGCGTTCGATCTGCGAAACTGAGGGAGAGGGAGAGAGTGTACGAGAACGAGGAAGACAACGAGAACGAAGAGCAGCAGGGACAGAGGAAGGAGAGAACAAGGGATGAGAGGGAGGGCAGGCGTAAAAAGGGCACAGAGGAGAAGTTGAATATGGTACGAATGTCGGAGGAGAACAAAGGAGAACGTACCGTGGAGATTAAGCCAGACGTAGACGCTGTCAATGCTGTCGAACTCCGAGCATTGGCAGAGAGGTCAGAGAAGGGAGACCTAGATGGAACACACGAAGGGTTAGAGACGAAGCGCGATACCTGAGAAAGAAGAAGACGGCGAACCTCAGAGCGTAGCTCGAATCGAGCATCGAGCCTGACGCGCAAGACTGCTCCACCCCCACCCAATCCCCCATTCCCCCTTCGTCCTTCATATTGACGCACCACCTTCGTTGTTAAGGCCGAATTTCGGTAACAGGCGTGAACAGTCGGCTTTTACTGCTTTCAAACCAGTTCAAAAGCTTCATGACGTTGACGGCGTCTCTCCAGTGTAACGCGGAGCGTTGCGGTAACGGTCACGTACACGGGAAAAAAGGGGGGTAGAGTCAGTCCGTCAAGTTGAAAGGATTAACCGTTCGTATTTCTGGGGACTCTGCCCTATACCTACGTACAACCCAGGTATTTATACTGTAACTATCGAGAGACCATAATAGATACAAACAGACTATGAGTCCATGCGGAATAACTGGGAAAGGGAGGAACGAGAGTTCAAAGCATGTGGGTAGGAATAGGGACACTGAAACAGGGGAGAGGGGATATCCATATCGGGAACCGAGTTGTCACATACGCCCTCTCGGACAAGTAAAGCTTGTTCGAAAATAAAAAGGGGAAAGACGGCCAAAAGAAAGAAATAAAACGAAGGAGGCCGTCGTTCAAGGGGGAAGGGAACTTTTATTTAATCGACGTTCATGGAGTGGTCATCTTCATCGCGGAGGTGGGACTGGTCAACGAAGATGGGCTTGGAGTGAAGTCGAGAGCGGCGGCTGGGGCCTCGAGACGACTCCGCGAGAGGGTTGTCACGACGGGAGATGCGCTCAGCGTGCTTCACCCGGGAACGTTCCTTGGAGGCTCAGAGCTCCTGAAGTTCTTGATTGTTGGAGCGAGCAAGTGATACAACACTCTGGAAGAGGAGGGACGGCTCTAGGTCGTAGAGTTGGGAATAGGGGTCCTCAGGGTGTACGGGTCGACGAGCAGGAGGGTCGTCGATCGGAGCGGGCCCTTTAAGCTTTTTGGAGTGGCGAGGAATGGGATGCGCCATTACTTCCTGCTTCGCGGCGCTACCCTTGGCGGGGTTAAGGGGTAATAACCCAAGGATGAAGGCGCTGGGATTGTGGTTGCCGAGCCTGAGGACTAGACCATCCTCGGTGATCATAGGGAGCTGACAGTTTCGTTCGAGGAGGTAAGGTTCCTGATTCAAGCATTTAACGATGCTGTAGTACAGATCACTGTAGTTGTTCTTGTAGAACTCGAGGTGCTTGCCGGAGCGAAGGTGGCCGGCGACGATGTGGACACACCAAACGTCCGTAATAGTGGCAATGATTTTAACGCCGGACAAGGGGTTGGTGAATTCGTATGAGTACGGCATGTCGTCGACGGCGCGCACGAATTGGAGATTAGGGTGAGGAGAGGGGTCTCAACGGGGGAAGTTCTGGTCACAAGAGAGAGCGGTGGCGGTGGGAATGACCTGATTATCCTGCGCGACTTTTGGGGCTGGCGCGTCGGGGGCGCTGGCCGGGGGTTGTTCAGCGGGAGCGGGATTAGGAGGGGTAGAGGACATCACGCCCTCATTGGCGATGTCAAGGGAGTCCTCGCCAGGGCTACCCAAGGCGTCAACGGTTACAGTGGCAAATCCTTCTTCGAGTTCGGTCATGATGTGAAGGAGGACGGGGTGGTCTGAAAGGTCAAACGAGGGAGAGCGACGGTGAGTGCTGGTTCTGGCAGGTTGGGTAATTTTGGGGGGGTCGCGGGAGCGGGGGAGCGAACGGGAAGGAGGGTCTTCATAAAAGGGACTCAAATAGGGCAAAGGGGAAGGTATGAATATCGAGGACATGCTGATTTGTGGATCATTAGGGGGTGACCCTGAGCCAGGAGGTAGCTCAGCTACGGCAGAACAACCCAAAATATCTAGGCATGATTGAAGCGCCTGTAGATGAGCGACTTTATCATATGGAAGCCAGGTAATGTCGCCAGACTTCCACGCGACTTCGAAAATAGAGTTTTCGCGGGATCCGGAGTGAGATATAATCTCTTCGACGGCCCACTCTGGATCGGGATCCTCGACCTCAAAGATCTGGGTGTCCAGGCGTCTGGGAAATAGTCGATCATCGTTCGGAACATGGATTCAAAGGAGGGAAGCGTGGAACCGGTCGTGGATTCCTCTTTGCTTCAAGCAAGAGGGGAGTTCGATCGTGAAGGCCTCGTTCTCGTGATTCTTCAATATCTTGTAGGGACCAATAAACTTAGGCAGGAACTTTCGAACTAGCCCTTTGGGGAATTTGATATTTTCTGTCGAGAGATATACCAAGTCCCCTGTTTCAAAAGGGGCTTTCCTCCGGTGTTGGTTGGCGTCCCTTGTTTGCTTCACGCGGGCTGCAAGGATAGCATCGTGAGCGGCTAGGGTGGCCGTTCGAATTCGCTCGGTGAAGGTCCGTACTCCGGGGAACTCATCTGGTTTGGGGGAGTCCCATAGCATGGACTGGGGCATTCTGCCAGAGTTTAGGAAGAAGGGGGAGAACCCAGTACTGTCGGAGCGCGCTAAGTTGATGGCGAACTCAATAGCGGGCAGCTTCAATACCCAATCTCGTTGGTTGGGATTAATGCACTGGCGCAGCAGCTGGGTGATCGTTCGGTTCGCCCTCTCGGTGGACCCATCAGACTGTGGGTGGTATGCTGTCGACATTCGAAGTTCCGTTCCGATAAGCTGATGCAATCGTTTCCAGAACCGACTGGTGAAGAGGACGTCTCAGTCGCTGATAATCGCGCGAGGTAGTCCATGTAGTTTGTATATTTTGGCGAACACCAGTTCGGCCACGTGCATAGCCGTGTAGTTTGTTCGTCCTGGAATTAAGTGGACCATGGCCGTTAGAAGGTCAATAACAACAGTTATCGAGTCATACGCAGCGTCTCGGTCCCTAGACTCGGGGAGAGGTCCTACGAAATCCATTCCTATTGCTTCCCATGGTCTGGAAGCGACGGGGAGAGGATGGAGGAGGCCGTAGGGTTTTTGATTATTAGGTTTACTTCTTCGACAGGTCATGCAGGTATCACAGTAATTGTGAACGTCACTCACCATCTGCTTCCACCACACATGTTCCCTGAGATAGTCTAGGGTCTTTTTGGCTCCCAAGTGGGCCAAAAGACTGTGGGCTTCGGCTATGATGATTTCTCTGATGTTTCGTCCTTGTACTAGCACATGCGGAATGCAAAGTACGTTGCACCCTGCTTTTTTGAGGTAGAGCAGATCGTTGTCTAATTCGAAGTTGCGGTATTCCTTGGGTTTCGCGACTATGCTTCGAAAGACGGTGTCTTCGTTATATCTTCCTTTTATCTTGTTGGTAATGTTAATACCATTGGAGTAGGTGTTCACAATGTCCATTATGGTGGGAGCGGGGAATTGAGGTTTTTCTAACGTGGGACCCTCTGAACTAGGAAGCACTGCCGCTTTGTCCTTATTTGTGCGTGTGGGTCCTAACTCGGGGTACGCAGTACTGGTTGTTTGTCCAGCCTGTTTAGCGGGTAGGGTGATAGTGAGCTTTTGCAAAGGTTGTTCTTTCCTCATGATCCCACCCTCCTTTCGTTCTCCAGGGCCGTGGAGCACGAAACGTTTTGTAGCCATCCGTTTTGCAAAGTCAGCGCTGGACTCAACCCTGGGCGCTTCGCCTGTGCGCTTCCTACTTACGTCCTCCTTAGAGGCACGAGGGCGCGAGGCCATTTTTGCTTCCAGTCCCACGAGGATGGGAACCGATGCCACGTCAAGCGTCTGCTCGTTCCCATCCACTACATCGTGGTAGGTATATTCACTCCTTGCGCGTTGGATGCCACTCGCCTCGTTTGAATAGATGCGCGACAGGGCGTCACTAAGGACATTCTCCACACCAGGGATATAGACCGGCTCGAAATCGAACTCGCAAATCTTTTCCATCCATCGCGCCTGTCGCCCGGACAGGTTTTTCTGACGCAATAGGTGGACGAGTCCCTTGTGGTCGGTCAGCCACTGGAAGTGACATCCTTGTAGTATGTCTCTATGTCGCAACATCGATTTGACACCCGCTAACATTTCAATTTCATGGACCAGGTAATTCTGCTGAGCAGCGTTAAGCTTCGCAGAATAGAAGGCAGCTACGCGGGCTTGTTGCCACGCATTGCCCTGTGCCACCACGCCGGAGATCCCAGTAGCGCACCCATCCGTTATCAACCAGATGGGTTCTGCTTCTGGACCATAAGTTAGCGGCGTTCTGTGATGGTCCCTCCATGTTTGTAGCTTTTGCTTAATGTCTTCGAACGCGCGCTGATGGGTGAATTCCCAGCGGAACGACACACGATCGCCCGTTAACGACGATAGCACACCCATCGGGATACACACGCCTTCCATATTGTCCGCGAGATAACCAACTGCGCCAAGGAAACCACGCAGCAGGTCGCGGTTAGTGGGTGTCTTCCAGTTTACAATGGAGTCGACCTTGTTGGAGTCCATCCGAATGCCGTCTTGATCTACGACGTGTCCCAAAACACTTAGTTCGCTCACTAAGAACCTCATTTTCTTCTCAGAAAGGTACAGGAGCTCTCGTTTTAATATATCAATCACTGATTTAACATGTTTGATATGTTCGTCCAGGGTGTTCGAATAGATATATATATCATCCAAATATACATCCATGAAGACGCCAATGAAAGCGGAGAATATGTGGTTCATTAATGCTTGGTACGTAGCAGGTCCATTACAATCGCCCTGTTGGAGAACTAAGCTGATCATATTCCCGTTAGGAGTAGTAACGGCCGTACGATTAACGTGCTCAGGAACTATTCGGATTTGTTCATAAGCGTCACAACCGTCCAGCGAAGTCACATACTTGTGCTTGGCGACTCGACGAAGAATGCCTTTGATATCGGGCAGCGGCGATGTCATTTTGCTGGTGTTGGCATTCCTTTCGCGAAGGTCGAAGACGCAACACAATAGCGTGGTGCCTGGTTTGTATATCAACAACATGGGTACAGTATTCCCGGAATTGGTCACTTGCCATCGTCCAGAGGCGGTGTACGCCCTCCATTTATCGTTCCATTGCTCGCGGAGGGGGTCTGGACAGCGGGAAGGGCGCCAGGAGTATATCCTGTCCGGGTTGATTAAAGGTATTGTATGGTTGATCGCGCGAAGCGGGGGTAACGGAGTGTCAGTGGCTTTCTTGCATAGGGGTAAGGCGTACTCACGAAGATGTTCCCGAGCTTTCTCAAGATTATCTTCTACCACCCGCATCGATCGCGAGGAGAGCTTCGTGACCTCAGGACCTTTAAGGGGAACTGCGTGAGTCGATCCTACAACCACACGAGGTGGGTTAATGCCAATAGTTACTAAATGTTGAAACATCCAGGGCGTACCAAGGATAATGTCATAATTAGCAATGTTGGCGACGTCGAAGTACCTCTCACTGTTAGAATTTTGATATTCGAGGGTCGCTCGGCATCCATAATTAATTCGGGATCTAGAGCCTTGAACGGCCAGCTGCAACGCCAAGGGGGTGCTTAATTGCACTTTCTTCAGCCCCAGTTGATCCACTAAGGTGGTCGATAGGAAGTCGCCGAGGGATCCGGAATCGATCAAAGCACGGGCTGGGTGACCATTCACCTTAACAGTTACCACTAGCGGCTTCGGGACTGCTCTTGATGGGTCCCGGGTTATTGAAGCATTCCGTTGCAAGGCAGGATATGTTCCTCTTTCGACCTGTTGACCGTTGAGCTCAATAACTGTGGGCATAGGTCCGGTGGCATCAAATCGGCAACGACGGACTTTCCGTATCCATAACAGGTGTTCGTCGTTGGTTTGGGCCGTGTTTCCAAAGCAAGCACTTCGGTACCATAAACAGTATTGGTTCGGGGATTCCCCCACAACCAATACCTTATCGGGTGGCTCGAATAGATCCTTTAGGTCAGTTTCGTTGTGTATCACGTCCAGCGTGTGGAAGAACTCAAGAGTTTTAGTAGCTAACTTCTTGGTATACCAATTAGGCAGATCAAACTTGGGATTCCGAAGGTGAGTCCTAGGGATCTCACACGTAAAGGCCCGATATTTATCTTGGATCGTGTAGGTCGCGGGGTTTTTTGGCGAGGGTTGAACAGAGAATCTCCCATACTGGCTGAAGACATTTATGTCTTTGTCTCCTAGATAAGGGACCCAGCTCTCTAAATGTATCCTCCCGGCCTCAGCATAAATATCTTCAATGGGTAGGGCCTTGCGGCAATAATCCGCCTCGGCTTTGGAAAATCCATAGTTCTCACAGCAGAGGAGCGCGTAAGAATAGGACACCGCTTGGGTGGTACTAATCAATTTCTTAGCATCCATCACCAACGGTACGCGCTTCGGGTACCATTTATCTACGACGGCGCACTCTCCTTCAGAGATGCGAAGGATTGAGAATCGTTCGTCGTAGAAATGATCGTCCTTGGGGAGCCGCAAGCGTGGAAAGTCGTCGTCTCCGGGGTATCCCAGAACTAGTCCGACCGCGTCTAGGTGTGCCTCTTGGGCCTTTATTACCGGGTCCCCCAGAGGCATGTATTGGGTATTCCAGCTGCGGACTACGTGAGGTACCCGAAATTCCTCACTTTCCATTTCGGGGTCCACATCTATCAACTCGGGCATACTGTCGCAGCCTTCGTCATCAGATTCGTTCGGGAGAGGGAGCTTTTCCTCAACGTCATCTGCCCAGGAGAATCCAGGTTCGGGTTGTAATCCAATCGCCCCAAGATCGAGCTCTTGTAGGGGGCCGTCTTCCTCGGTATTCAGCGCCTCATGCTCTTCAAAGTTGATACCGAGGGCATGCGAGGGGATTCCAGGGGGTTTACTTCCGTGGCTCTTCATGGCGTCGGTTGACGGGCAATCTTTCGATAGGTGACCAACATGTTTGCAATGGAAGCATTTGCCTGCCTTTCTTAGCTCATCAAGCTCTTTAGGGGATAGTTGGGAGGGAATTTTTGGGTGTCTTTCGCTATTGTTGCGTCCTCCGGTGGGTTTCTGTCCATCTCTAGGAGTCACCGGGGTCTGATTCCCCGAAGTCGATCCCTTAGAGCCAGTCGGTGTCGCGTTTTGACTCCGCTTGTCGCCAAATCGGGGGTTGTTGTTACCCTTCTTGGAACGACCCTGTTGGCTACCCTGGTTAGGGGAGTTAACAGCGTGGGCAGCGCGATAACCGCTGCGCCCAAGCCTGGCATTCTCAACCACTTCAAGGAGTTCGGCTCTTTCTACAACCTCGTCCCAGGTGGATATATTAGGGTTCAGTTTTTCTCGATATAGCTCGGCTTGGATTACTGGTTTAAAACCGTTCCATAATTTAACCACCTTTTCTTGTTCGCTTATAGAACCAATGACGTCGTAGTGTTGTTTCAGCTGCGCCGAATAGTCGCGAACACTCAACTCACGCTGCCACAGCTTGTCGATCTCCATCCGAGTCTGTTCAAGAAGGTCGATCGGGAAGCAGGCGTTCATGAGTCCCTCGAAGAAGTCCCTTAGGTTCCATTTGCCTGGACTCATGGAGACTTGTTGAAGGTAGAAGTCGTATGCACGACCCTTGAGATAGGCAGCAAGTTTTCGAACACGGTATTTTCGTCGGACACCGCCTTCCTTCAGGTAAGCGGTTCCATCGCTTACGAATCGATAAAACAACGTTAAATCGGCACTGCCGTCGTAGGTCTCAGGCGGCGTTGGTTTCAAGTTAGACTTGCGTTTTGATTTGCGTGATTTACGTCTACGCCTATGCCTATAACGATCATTTCCGTCCGAGCTACTGGAGTCACTACTTGTGCTATCGGAGTTCTCAGACAAATCGTCACTATCGCTGGACGAGGAGCTCGAGTCGTCTCCGCTCGAGGGGTCTCGTTCCTTTTTGCGAGACCCTCTTCTATCTTCCACCGAGTTCAGGGCCCTACCCAGATAGCTGTTGGGGGGTATTTGCGAGCTCGGAAGGAATCCTGACTTTGCGTCTTGTTTCTTGGGTCGAGTTCTAGTCGCGGACTTGGATTTGGTCTTAGGTCTCTCAACGGTTGTCTCCGCGATGTGGGCTCGTATACCCTCAGTCATTGGGGTCCGGGATTTCTGGCGTTCATGTAGATGCCTGTTATCCCTTTCGAGTTCCGCTAGTCGTTGGCGAAGATATTCCCGATCGTCATCTACAATCGGAGGGGGCAACCGTCTGGCTGTGGTCTGACGACGGGAGGGTCCAGCTTGACGTTGATCATTGGCCGGCCCTAGGTTCTTCGCCGTCTTCCAGATCTTGAACGCCTCAGCCTGTGCTTCGGGGTCTAAGTCGTCGTCTCCGAAGTCGACGTCACCCCAGTTAGTGGGGTCAGCGACTTTCCCTTTGGCCGCAGTCCGTGGGTTGTCGTGTCCAGGTCCTGGAAGTCTATCACCTCGGCCTTTGGCTTGAGGGTCCTTACTAATCTGAGCCTGCCTTTGGGCCAGACTTTCCTTCTGCTTATTACTTAGATTCTCATAAGCTGCATTTATCGTTCTCAATTGTTCATTATCAAGATCGCGGCGTCTATCTACAGAGGAAGCGCTATGCGACCGTCTGTTCTTTCGGTTTACTGGTATCCAGCCCGAATCATCATCAGGGGTTTGTCCCTGGACACCGTTGTTGGCGAATTCCTCGCCATCGGCGGTCTTCCTCCCGTCATCCCCGGCATCCGGTTCATTAGGGAGGAAGGTGGCTGGCCCAAAGGTCTCAGCCGGATCGCATGCAGCCGCCACGTCCGAGTAACTTCGGCGGGACGCTGCTGACACAGGTCTTTGGGTATCTACAGGCGCGGTTTCAGCGCCGGAATCGGTGAGATCTGACTCACTGGGGTTCCCTTTTTCTAGGGTGGTCTGGCTACGCAGAGGGTAGCGTCTGGTTGACGACGTAGGGATACGCGATGTCATGCTTTAATCTAATCTGATGATCAGTAAAACTTTTTTCAGGGGAGGACTTATCGGTGATCAATAATAATTGAGTGTAAAGGTTTTAGCGGTTATGGAGGTGGAGGAGCCGAGGATTCCCAGTGGGCCAAACTGGGGGGGACCTATAGGCGTCGGGAAAGTTGTTCACTCTTGCGAGTGTCGGTGTTGATGAACGGTGGGGGAGCTTTCAAAAATATGTAACGCGGAGCGTTGCGGTAACGGTCACGTACACGGGAAAAAAGGGGGGTAGAGTCAGTCCGTCAAGTTGAAAGGATTAACCGTTTGTATTTCTGGGGACTCTGCCCTATACCTACATACAACCCAGGTATTTATACTGTAACTATCGAGAGACCATAATAGATACAAACAGACTATGAGTCCATGCGGAATAACTGGGAAAGGGAGGAACGAGAGTTCAAAGCATGTGGGTAGGAATAGGGACACTGAAACAGGGGAGAGGGGATATCCATATCGGGAACCGAGTTGTCACATCCAGGCTCAGCACGATGCGGCTCAATCTACCATTCTGAACCTACAAGCAAAAGTTGTCAAGCTAGAGGACAAAGTGAAGACGTCTCAGACCGGACAGGAAGAGGTTATCTCCGCCTCCATCTCAGCTGCCACAGCTGTCGTTGCCTCTGCATTTGCGGCCAGGGACGCCCAAATGCTGGCAAAATCGGATACTGAGAACGGGACGCTAGAGCAGTTAATGACGGACTGGAAGAAGAATGTAGATGGGCAGTGGAGTAGCATGCGCAAGGAGTGGTCTGAGGAGCGTGCTTGGTTGGCCAAGGCAAGCGAGGAATGGGAGACGAAAATCAAGCAAGTTGACTTGAAGCTTACCGCCCTTACCACCGTGAGCGACCCACCGTTGGCTGCAGGCCCAGATGATCATCAGAACGGAAATCTACGCCACACTCTTGCTACTCCTCCAAGTCCCCGCAGTCTCTCCTCCGACTCGCGACGTTCATCAAGAAGGAAGCGCTCAGGATTAGCACGGGGCTGAACCGGAAATCGATCACGAGCGTTAGCCAGGCCGGCTGCGACGACGACGTCTTGCGAGCTGACTCCCCTGACTTTGAGTCCGACAAAACGCTATCTATCTTATGCCCGGCCAGCTCATGCTGTAAGAACAATGCATTAAATTCCCTTCCGCGGTTGCAGGTCCATTACAATGTTTGCCAGGGCTGGCTGGTGTAATGCATTATGGCCCTTATAGGCGCGCTGCGTAATGCATTATGGTCTTTATAGGCGCGCTGAGTTGCTAATGCTTATTGCGATGTTTCCATGCTTAATCTAATCAATCTTAAGGATAATCAATGATCTCTGATTGTACTTGATTATCTCAGAGTGATTATCTTATTTTCTAGTACTTGATTATCTCAGTGTGATTATCTTATTTTCTCATCTTTCAGATCTCTCACGGATCAAAGTCATGATTAGATTGTGATACAATGTAAACGGAACGGGAACGGAACGGGAACAAAACAAGATAACAGAATGAAACAAGACAATAGAACGAAATGCAGCAATGGAGCAGAATGTGAGCAGAATGTAGCAATGGAATAGGAGTCGAAGGTGGGCAGATGGTAGGCAAACGAATAGGCAAACGAATAGAATGATGATCTTACAGCATTTGCTCCAGGTGCAACGCCCAAGTAACGTCCGCAACGGCCTTGTTCCAGCTCTTCAATGCAGGGGATGTCTCAGGAGTCAATCCCCTCCACCACCACAAGCAAACGATGACGTTGATCATACCCTTGTGCCCAGTAGCACACATGGACTCCCAATCCCCTGAGCCAGCCTTCTGCAACGTTCTGTCGGGAGCCTTTATACACCAATCTGGATTGAGCTCAGCCCACCACTTCCACCACTGCTTGGCGAACACATCAACATCGGTAAGGCTGGCCGGGGTTCTGTGGTAGTAGCGTGCCGACTTGATCCAATTGGCTACCTCTGCTGGCCGTGTGGATGAATCTGGAAGTTTAACGTCCTGTACTCGTTAACAATAATAAGCACCTGCAGGAGAAATATATATGCTGTTACTCACCCCTGCCTGAAAGTTATTTAGCGCCTCTACGGTTTCCCAAGCCTGTAGAAGGGATGTCCATCTAGGCCCGTAGTACTCGTTGTGGTGCCGGTTCTTCTTTTCGGCATCCGTAAATGCATTGTAGGCTTTCGTGAACCATGCCGGTCGAATGTCATCGGATTGAGACAATGCAGGCGCTGGATCATTGCCACCTGCCTCAGATGTGGAGTCGTCGTTGGGGTCATCGTCAGGCTGCGGGTCGTTTGGAGGAGAGTTTGGACGAGACAGGCTGGGAGTGGGAGTAGTGGGATGGGGTTGGTCCTTGTCAGGAGCTGATGCTGCCTTGCCTCTGCTTGATCGACGAGGAGTGGGAGTAGTAGTGGGATTGGGATGGTCCTCGTCAGGAGCTGATGCCGCCTTGCCTCCTCTATTCGATCGACGGGGAGTGGGAGTAGAAGTAGGATTGGGGTGGTCCTCGTCAGGAGCTGTAGCTGACTTGCCTCCTCTATTCGATCGACGAGGGGGAGTAGTGGGATTGGGAAGGGAATGGTCCTTATCAGGAGCTGCAGCTGACTTGCCTCCTCTATTCGATCGACGAGGGGGAGCGGCCGGCCTCAATCTTTTTGATTCATGGCCTGAGTTGGGCACGCCTGAGTCTGGCGCATAATCGTCGTCGTCCGCAGGAGGTGTGGATGGCTCTCGAGGCCGCTTCTTTTGTTTGTCAAAGAGGCCGTGGTCCTTGAGTCCTAGTGATTGAAGAAGCCGCTCATTGCGGGCAATGTTGCTGCAGCGCTGGAGCTCGTAGTTGGAAAGCTTGGCAAGTTCCTTGATTCGTTTCTCCTGTGCCGACGGCGCAAGTTTGGCTACATCCTCCAGTAGCTCGGGTCCAACACCATCTTCTCCAACGTCAACTCCAGCATCAGCAAGTCGACACTCCGCAAGGTCGATTGCTTTCTGCAGGAGGGCCTCGTCAGATAATGAAGCCCGGCCAGCACGTGTGGGGGCCACTGCATTGGCTTTGGGCCTAGGTTGAGTGATTTGAGGCCCACTAGGGTGGCGTGATGGAGTTTTGGCGGGCCCAGTGGCAGCGGTGACTTTGGTTGGAGAGGTGGTAGGCGTTGGCGTTGGCGACGTCCAAACATTCGAAGTAGGCAGTAAGTCGGCAAGATCCTGCTCATTGGAGGAGCCCGCTTCTGCTCCATCTGTGTAATGTGGTGATAATGGACAGAGTTGAAAAAGCTATAGCACTTACTACCGGAAGCGGTTAGCGCAAATCGAACAAAGAGTTTCATAGCCTGCTTGAATCCCTTGGGATCGAGGGAGGGGAACGACTTCTCGTCCTTCGATTTTCCGGCACCAAGGCTTATCGGGATCAGTTAATCCACGTAGAGTAAGCAAGGAGAAGCTCACTAGACCGCCCGAAGCTTTTCTGGGCTGACCTCCTTGTCTTTAGGCATGCCGACAGCAAAGAAGCCGATGTAAAGGCCAGTAATTGCACGAATTCCGTCAAGTAGGGGCTGAATAGTCGGCGTTATACTTTCGATAGCCCTATTTGCAAGTAAGCGTAGTCTTCCGAAGCCGATACTAGTACTCACATTTCACGTTCGTCGGGATCCGTAACATCTTCAGTCCAGACCCCCTTGCTGTATGCCTTCAGAGTGTCATCGTACTGCTTTTGCGTCTCCTTGTTGATGAGCTCCTGAACGTCCGACGGCTCCGCACGCAGCAGTCTCTCTGCGATCTTGTTCCGTGTTGCCAAACGATAGTCTTCGTGCAGGTTTAGTGTCGGCCATTCCTCGTCCAGCGTTGCGGCAACCTTTGACTTATAGGGCTCCGTGCGTTCGTAATACTGACAATCTGTAAGGGCAACCTCAAGATGGCCGCACAGTGCAAGCCTAGCAGAGGGAGAATCCAAAGAGATGAATAAGACTAACTACAATACATGAGAGAGCTGCTCACCTAGCAGAGGGAGAATCCAAAGAGAACAGGATGGGGATTCTCCATGCTAGGAAGCGAAGTATATACTGTAGTAGCGTGGGAGGAATGAAGGGTAACTGTACAGTACACCAGCCACAGGTACGAACGAATATCACAAGGTACGAGGGGGCATGTGATAATGAAGTGGAAGGGGAATGTACAGGAGCCGTGCCAGCGACCTGGGGGAGTGGGGACAAGGAATAACAAAGTGGGAAAGGAAGATGGAGGTAGCCCGGACGAGCCCCGAAGTGTATCTACGAGTCCGAGCGAGTCCGAGCGAGTCCGAGGCGTCCGAAGCGCGGGAAGACTTCGGAGTCACCGGACGAGGCTCGGATGCGAAGGGAGTGAACAGAAGGGAAGCGGAAAGGAAAGGGGACGAAAGGAAAGGAAAGGGAATGAAAGAAAGAGGAAAGGGACGAGGAGGAAGGGGACGGGACAGGGGGAAAAGGGGAAAATAGGAGTGTCCCCTTACATCACCCCCCCTTCAAGGTTGCGGCGACCCGGCGCAAAGATTCCTGCCTGCCGCGCCATGAATTCACCAACCCCGAAACTCCGGATTGCTGCGAGAAGATGTCGAAGTACGATTGCGCAGAGCCCGGGGCCTTCCGACTACGCCAACGCTCCCAGGACTGGTCCAGTGCTGCAGGAGTCATCCGGAGAGGTAGAGCAGTCGTCGGAATCATCGGACTCGTCCGGAGTACGCGTACTGCATCCGGATGACGATCATGGAAGTCCTTGACCTTCCGGGCAGCATGCTGGAGGTTGCTTGCGGGCTCCCAGGAGTCGTGCTCAATACCATAGCCTTGCCAACGCACCAGGTACTTCAGGACCCGACCGAACCGTCTGCTATTCCGGACCTCTTCTACCTCATGCTCCTCTTCTCCGTCAACGAGCTGTGGAGGTGGCGGAGCGACAGGGCGTCTACCCGGAATGGGGTCCGGGACGAAGGGAGAGAGTTTGACCACAGGGAAGACGGGGTGGAGACGGGATAAGCCCGCAGGGAGCTGGAGTCGGTACGCTGCCTTGCCAACCTTCCGGACGACCTTGTAAGGACCGAGTCGTGCGTGTCCGAGTTTCCGGGAGGGTCGGGCAAGGTTGATGTCCGACGAGTCCAGCCAAACCTTGTCACCCGGTTGGTACTCCGGAGCAGGAGTCCGACGCTGATCGTAGTAGCGCTTCATGTCGTCCTGAGCCTTGACCAATGCGGAATGAGCCTCGTCGACTGCAGACTTCATCCGATGTACAAATTCGTTTGCGGACTCCATCCGAGACGGTGGCTGATGAGGTTCGAACCCGAGGCGAGGATGTCGGCCAGTATCTAGGAGGAAAGGTGACTGCTGAGTCGACGCGTGGACCCGGTTGTTGTACGCGAACTCCGCCATAGGCAGGAGGCGAGCCCAGTCGTCCTGACGCTCTCCGACGAAGATCCGGAGATAGGACTCGAGTTCCTGGTTGGTCCGTTCCGTCTGTCCGTCGGACTGAGGGTGGTACGCAGTGGAGGCAGCCAGCTTGATTCCGAGCATCCGGTAGACTTCTCGGGTGAACTCTGCGACGAATTGTGGACCCCGGTCGGACACAACAGACCGAGGGAGTCTGTGCAGCTTCCAGACGTTCTGCAGGTACAAGTTTGCGGATCCGAGGGCAGACACTGTGGTGTGAGTCGGAATGAAGTGGGCGCGTTTGCTTACGGAGTCGACCACGTTCATGACAGCATCAAACCCATCGGACTCCGGAAGCTCGATGATGAAGTCAACACTCAGGCGATCCCAGCGTCCATCCGGAATGGGAAGCGGATGGAGTTCACCCATGGGCGGATGCCTTTGGGCCTTCGTCCGGAGACAGAGGTCGCAATGGCGGGTGTAGGATCCGACGTACCGGGACATGTTGGGCCACCAGTAGCTGCGTGAAACGAGCTCGAGGGTCTTCCACCTGCCGGCGTGTCCTGCGACCTTGGTGTCGTGGTGCTGAGCTACAATGGTCCGACGCAAGTCCGGTGAGTCCGGAACGTAGATCTTACCCCGGAACATCAGGAGTCCGTCCGATTGAGACCATTCCGCGCTTCGGACTGTCTTGCGACTGCCCTGGGCCTTCTTCAACTCCTCTGCCGCCTTTGCCACTGCATCTTCAAACTTCGCATTCCGCACTCCGGTCCGGATAGCTGTGAGGATATCCTTCTCCTCCCCTTCAAGAGTGACACCCGTGGCACGGACGGCAAAGTAAGACGGCTTAAGTAAAACCACGTCCTTGTTGTCATCCTTACCATCCGAGTGATCCGAGCGGCGCGAGAGAGCATCCGGCTTACCCATTGTCCGACCCGGACGATGCTGGAGAGTGAAGTCGAAGCGGGAGAGGTATAGCGACCAGCGGGCTTGACGGCGGTTGAGCTTCTGGGCCTTGATGAAGTACTCCAGGTTCTTGTGGTCCGTCCAGATCTCGAACGGAGTCTCCGCGCCTTCAAGGTAGTGCCGCCATTCTTCGAGCGCCCGGATGATTGAAAGCATCTCCTTGTCGTGTATTTCGTAGTTCCGCTCCGCAGCCTGTAGACTTTTAGAGTAGAATGCGACAGGATGCCATTTACCATCATCCGGATCCAGCTGCGACAAGACCGCACCCGTAGCGTAATCCGACGAGTCCGCTTCAACCCGGTATGGCCGATCCTCCTTCGGAAAGACAAGAACAGGTTCCGAAGTGATCAGCTCCTTGATCCGAAGAAATGCGGATTGAGCGGAGTCGTTCCACTGCCATTCCTTTGCGCAAGTGAGGTCGAAGAGAGGCCGGGCAATATGCGAGTAGTCCTTGATGAAGCGGCGGTAGAAGTTGACGAACCCGAGGAAGGATTGGAGTTCAGTCCGAGTCCGAGGGGTTGGCCAGTCCGCGACTCCAGAAACCTTCACGGGATCCATCTCGATCTTACCCTCAGAGACGACAACTCCGAGATACTCCACCTTGGTCTGCTCGAAATCGCACTTGTCCGCTCGGAGGAAGAGCTTGTTCCGCTGGAGGATCTCTAGGACACGCCTGAGGACCCGGTGATGCTCTTCGCGCGTCTTGGTGTAGATCAGAATGTCATCCAGATAGATAATGACCACACCTTCCGTAATGAGCTCCCGGAAGAGGTCGTTCATCATGGTCTGGAAGGTAGATGGGCTATTCGTCAGTCCGAAGAACATTACCAACGGCTCGAAGAGTCCACGCGTAGTCCGGAACGCGGCCTTCCACTCGTCGCCCTCCTTGATCCGGACGTTGTTGAAACCCCACCGGACGTCGAGCTTGGAGAAGTAGCGAGCGTTCCGGAGTTTGTCCACCAAGTCCGAGATGAGCGGAAGGGGGTACCGGTTCTTGACCGTCATGCTGTTGAGCTTCCGGTAGTCCTGGACCAAGCGGAGCGATCCGTCCTTCTTCTTAACAAAGAACACCGGGGCAGCCATGGGCGACTTGCTGGGGCGGATCCGACCAGTCCGGAGATTTTCTTCCAGGAATTCGTCCAGCTGTTTCTGTTCCGCGGGGGACAGCGGGTAGCACTTGGTAGAGGTCGGTTCCGCTCCGTCCACTAGCTCAATGGCGTGATCCCACGGGCGCGGCATGGGCAGTTCATCAAAGGACTCCTTGGCGAAGATGTCCTCGAATTCTTGGAGGAAGTCCGGGACTGCGCTGTTCCGAGGATCGTGGGGCTTGTTGCGCTGGAAAGCCAATGCGAGGCGCTGCGAGACCGTCTCCGAAGCTCGGACGTGTTCTTCCCGAAGACTCCGAAGGTACTCCGGAGTCGGAGGAGGAATGGTTGCGAAGATACGGTCCCCCTTCTCAAGTTCGGAGTCGTCCGGAGTTGTGGCCTCATCGTCCTCGTCGTCATCCTCGCAGTCCTGAAGCTGCGGGAGGTCGTCCGAGTGCAGTTCCTCGACCATTGGCATCGGACCCGTACGACACTCCCGGAGTCGTACGGACTCCTTGCGTCGGGTCAGCTTGTCATGACGGAACTCCTTCCGACAGGTATCGCATCCGGACGGACAGCGGCTCATAGTCACCTCCTTTGTCTGCCAGTCAATCTCGGGGTTGTGCTTCCGAAGCCAGGTGTATCCGAGGATGATGTCCTGCCGTCCGATGTTAGTGACCGCAAAAAGCATCCGTTCCGTGTGATCCTTGAACCGGAGTACAAGGTCCACGACTTCGGAGATGGATCCGTTTTCGTTTGGTGATCCGTCAACATTGAAGACTGGGATCGGAGCGGACAGCTTGCGCCGGGTGAAACCATGAGCATCCGCAAAGCGCGGATGCATAAAGACTCCGGTGGCTCCGCAGTCCACCAGGGCCTGCAGGGTGCATCTGTGTTGTGTATCCGTGCTCAGCACTTCAACGGGTATATCTAGGTAAAGCTTGCCGGGCAGCGCGGAGATCTTATAGCTACTGGGTAGCCGCCGTTCCCACTGCGGGCGAAACCTTCGGAGTGTGCGGATTGTGACCGGAGTCGTTTGCTTAGCGTCGGACGAATCATCGGAGTGATAGGAATCGTCTATTTCGTCTATGCTAAGACAAGCAAATCGGTTATTCACCAACGAGGTCGCACTGATCACTCGTTGGTCCGGACAAAATCCGCCGTGTCCGATTCCTCAACCGGGGCCGTTCCCTCATCGTCTATTCCTTCCGAGGTCCCCGCACTTTCTACAACATCGGCCGCGGTCAGGAGATCTTCGATGGCGGACATCCGCTCCTCGGTGGTCATGAACCGGACGTCGTACCGGAGTGGGCACTCACGGGACATGTGACCGGGTTTGCCGCATCGGTAGCAGAGCTGCGAAGCGGCGGGCCGGGAGCGGGTGTGGTCAACATCCATGGGGACGCCAGGTGAGAGAGCCTTTGGAGGAGGCGGAAGTTGGAAGCGGGGTTGCAGAGGCGGGAGCTGAGTCCGAGGCGCGGGGAGTACACCCGCAGGAGTCCGAGCGACTCCGGAGCTGGCTGCTGGTCGGACGAGGGATCCGGAGTGTCCGGAGTTTCCAGAGTGCATGCCAAAGTGGAAGGACTGGTTGGCAGCACGGTTGTCAGCAACCCGCTGCGCTGCCTTGTACCATCCTTCGAAGTCATCCTCGTCCGGACAGTCTGCGGACTCGGCAACACGGCTCTGGATGATGGAGTCCAGTCCGCGGCGGAACTTCATCGTGATGTTGGAGCCCTCGGAGTATCCGGACTGGTCTACAAGGTCCCGGAACTCGTCGAGGTACTCCTGGAAAGTCCGACGCCCTTGGTGGTATCGGGTGGACTCCAGCTTGAGCATGGCGGCTTCGCGTTCCCGATCCGGAAGGAAGCGAGTCCGGAATTCGGTCGCGAAGGCGGCCCAGGATTTGAAGTACGGATCCTTCGGACTCCGGAGTACCATGTCCGCGTACTCCTTGGCGCGATCCTTCTGGAAGAAGGAGAGACACCAGAGGATTTTGGCCTGCTCAGTCGGAAAGTGGTCTGGACAGAGCTGGAAGTAGATGGAGCACGCGTTGTAGAACGCGCGACCATCCTTGCGGTTTCCGTCGAAGATCGGGGGAGAGGCGGGCTTCAAACGGGAACGCGGGGCGATTTCGGATCGACTCGGGGCGTGCTGGGAGGCTTCGGTGCCCCTCAGCTCGGAGTCCCGGGTCGTTTTCGGAGTGGTCGGACGGGGTGTTAAGAGGAGTCCTTCAATTCGGGCAAGTGTATCCTGGATGGAAGTGATTTGGGTTTGGTGTTCGTACGTCTGAGCCCACAAGGTCTGCAACGTCTCGGAGCCCGGTCCTGAAGCGACTGGCTCGGATGGCGGGATCTGGCTGGAGGCGCCCGGCATTTCGGAGTCGTCAGGGGGGCGAGGGATGGAGTTCCTTGGGTCCTCAGAGGTGGGTGGGAGTAGCAGGAGAGCGTCCGGAATGTCCGCAAAACCGGAGAGACGTCGGGAACGAGTCCGGAGTGGCGCAGGACGTTTTCCGTAGGGCTCTGGTGCCAGGATGAGAGATCCTGTTCTGCTGTAAGGGCAACCTCAAGATGGCCGCACAGTGCAAGCCTAGCAGAGGGAGAATCCAAAGAGATGAATAAGACTAACTGCAATACATGAGAGAGCTGCTCACCTAGCAGAGGGAGAATCCAAAGAGAACAGGATGGGGATTCTCCATGCTAGGAAGCGAAGTATATACTGTAGTAGCGTGGGAGGAATGAAGGGTAACTGTACAGTACACCAGCCACAGGTACGAACGAATATCACAAGGTACGAGGGGGCATGTGATAATGAAGTGGAAGGGGAATGTACAGGAGCCGTGCCAGCGACCTGGGGGAGTGGGGACAAGGAATAACAAAGTGGGAAAGGAAGATGGAGGTAGCCCGGACGAGCCCCGAAGTGTATCTACGAGTCCGAGCGAGTCCGAGGCGTCCGAAGCGCGGGAAGACTTCGGAGTCACCGGACGAGGCTCGGATGCGAAGGGAGTGAACAGAAGGGAAGCGGAAAGGAAAGGGGACGAAAGGAAAGGAAAGGGAATGAAAGAAAGAGGAAAGGGACGAGGAGGAAGGGGACGGGACAGGGGGAAAAGGGGAAAATAGGAGTGTCCCCTTACACAATCCCTGAGTCGTTGTGGTCGAGGACGGTCGGATTTACGGAGCTTATCAAGCCATGGCCCCCAAGGATCCTTGCTCGTGTTCAAGCCTAAAGAAGCTCGACGATAGTTGAACCAGTTCTTGATTTTCTACTCAACGTTAAATTAGTGTGTGACCAGTGCTATCTAAGTATAAACAACGAACCTTGACTAGCCTGTTGACGGTATCGGACTTCATGTTTGCGACTTCAGGAGTGAGCTTTGATTCTTCAAGAGCAATGTTGAACGCCTCAGGTATGTCGTCCTCCGCAGGAATGAACCAAGGGAATTTCCGAAAGTAATTGGGAAAGAACGTATTTGTAAACCAGGTTGAGACGGCGCCGCTGCTTGAGGCCTCCCGGTATTGAGGCAGCATGTCATTGAGGTATTGAAGGCGCTCCCCCTTGAAGTCTCCTTGGTTGCCACGCTTTCGTTTGCCCACGACACCAGTCGGTACGTTGGTGAGTTCGTTTTCCTTCTGGCTCGAAGTTGTCTGAGACATTGTTTGAGAGTAGTGGTGGTGGAGAGAAAGGACAAGCGGAGTTGGGGTGGTGACGGTGCGTTGTGACCACTCAAACAAGTCACAAACCAGGCAAGATCTTGCACTCCGTTGTTGTACCTGATCTGTTAACAAATCTGTTAACGATCTATTCGCCGTCTCAGGATTTGTTCGTGCGAGGGAACACTCATTTCTGTTCTGTTTAGTCTTAACTTATCAGGGACAATTTGTGGCTGTAGGTCCTTGTAGAATATGCTCCGTACATCATACGATCAAGTTGGATCGAGATAATGCAATATATTGTCAACCAACTTTGGAATGCAGTAACTACTATTGGGGACAGAGTAAATGGTATGCAAATTGGCGAAAAGAAACCGCGATCTAGATTATTGTGCCATGTTGAGCAGATATTAGAGCGGGGGCCTGTCAGTAGCCCAGTGAACGGCCTGGTTGTAATTGTTGCAAATGATCATGGACGTGTTGTTCCACTCTTCACATTCGAGTAGGAAAAAGGCTTGAGCACGCTCCCTATCAACAGGGTAAGGACACATTAAGGAACTTTGAATAGAAACCTACGCGTCCTTGAATACTCCGTGGTTACGACCACCACGAACTCCATAGAACGGGTTTCTGATTGTGTTATCACGTAGGATGCGGTCGGGCAGATCTACAACTCCAGTCGTTTTCAAGCGATCGCCATCTCGTCCAGCTTGATGCCACTGGGCAAAGATATTATTGGCCGAGCGCCTGTACAATAATCTCAGCAATGACGACTACCTAATAGAATTCAACTTACTGATCGTGGAACATGAAGGAGCGCGAAGGTTCAAGCCGAACCAGCCAGAAAGGGCCATCATTGGCATTTGAGGAGAGATAGAAATCGGATGCATGATGTTCTGGCGCTGCGGCGGGTGGGGGAGTGACGTTCATTTTGCCGAAGGGGGAAGGAGGCGACCGTTGCTGAATATCTGTGAATGGGGACAAGGGAGCCAACGAGGGAACAGTGGATGAGGGCTGGACGCAGGTCTCCATGTCGTCCTCAGAGGACGTTGCCTGTTGATGAAGTCTGTAGTGTGCCGTACGAATCCGTTGACTACGTTGCGCCAACCTATCTCGACTTGGGCCTGTACGACATGGAGTGGGTGCATCGAAGTCAACATCAGAGGGACGCGAGGAGTTGTCCAAGTCCAGCGAGGGGTGTTCCGAAGCAGGGGGGTCGGTTGCATATGACGGGGGGGCCTCTGGGGAGGGCGGTACATTCTCCCAGAGATCAATAAACCCCTGAGGATCGTTGTCGTACATGATGCCCTCACACATTCGTGCAAATATCTTGTGGAGCGGCCACGGCTCGTGACGATTGGGAAGGGCTCCATGCCGTCCATCCGTGTGGTTTTTTTGGCAAAACTCGTCGTGCGCTCGACCCAGGTCATCTGCGTTTGCAAAGGATCGAACCTGGACACCCCTTGACTCGAGGTAGTTGATGATTCCACTTAGCACTTGGTTAAAACAGAGTACGGCAGATAGAAAACGAGAAGACGTATTGATCCTTCTCAAAGAAGACTTGGGCAATTTTCCCCCAAGTCAGATAGAGGAAGGGGCCTGGGAGTCTTCTGAATGGAACACTCTTGTCGCGACCAAAAACGAGTAGTCTGCAAGTCGATGGGGATTGAGACATGATGGCAGTAGGTCAAAAAGAAAAGACGATGATGTTGAATAGCGTGGGTGCTGAGATAACGGTCTTGAACACTGGAGGTATTTATGTGATCCTGTTCAAGGGTCGCCCGGTTGGGACAAGTCTTGAATTTGGCTAAGTCGCATCCTTTTTGAATCACACATTAGGGGTACTCGCTATCAAATATGTTCAGTATTGTCAACTGGGGTGTACGTCAGTTATGTGCATTCCTAAGCCCTACGTACCAGTGAGCCAGACTTATTTATTCCTGCGAGAGGACAACTGGATGCAGCCGGTGGAAGCTAGGCTGAACTTGACGCCAACGATTGTTGACGAGAGACTCTGGGGTTCAAAGTATGTATGCTGGCACTTGACTGGCACTGTTAAAAATGACGAAGTAGGTTATCCCAGCCATAACTATTGAGTCGTTCACTCACCTACAGAAATGCTCCACAGAACGCAGTTCTGTTGTTGAGCCTGGATTATCTCGACCTTCAATGCCCCCTCCCTTCCCTTCATCCCTTCATCTATTGGATTCCCTCGACTCCACCGTGCGTATTTTTCTTCACGGCGTCGATATCTGAAGTGCGAGTGCATGTTAGCGACTGACTACGAAACGAGGTTGCGAACACGAACCTTGTTTCGTAGTCAGGTAGACGCTAGACACTTGCCACCCAATCTGCATATGGCTTGTGGGACGTCGATCGCGATTCAAACAACGGTGAGCGATCTCTGTTGGATTCGACAGAGTACAGGTGGAAGCTTGTAGTTAGTTCCGATGATGTTGGTCAAGTTCGTCAATCGGATCATTCCAGGTCGTTGCATTATTATTGGGCACTACAACCATAATTCACTGTGTGCCACCTTATTGCATTTTGCCACTACTAACAACATTCTACAGGGATCTATCAAATCTATCGAGCCCCCTTTCCCATCGATCCTGTCCATCCTGCTCGGGGTTCTCAAGAGGTGCACAGTCAAGATTTCTCCAGAACCCATTTTCGACCCATCGAAATATACCTCCCGCCGTATACTGGGTGATTGAAACTCGCTCCTCCTTTGGTTGAATGGGTACGTTAGAATGTCGAAGTAATGCGGACGGTATTAACATGGTTGCACCTGGAGGAAACTCCAGCATTAATCTGAGCTCCCATAGTATTAGATGCCCCCCTTTCTTCGGATCGAAGTTACCCAGTGCGGTGATTGCACACAGTCCCGTCGCAAGATTGACACAGTCAGTGTGATCCACACATATAGTATGGGGGCCAAGGTTAACTGAAAGACATGCGAAGTCGCTGTTCTGAACGTTGCGCTTGAGCTCCGGCTGGGACTCAATGAGCTTGTCCAGTGTTTCCCTATAGTATAGGCCTTGCTTCGGTGCAATGGTGTGGAGCAATTTCGATTGCATTCCAGCAATTCGTCTGACGTTGGGGTTATCAATAATTGCGTCCATCGTGGCCGCATTTCTATTCGAACTTCGTAACAGCATAGGTCTACGCTGACCCCCACCGTACGATATTCCCTTCGTCAGCGCAGGAAATCTCCCCCTCCTGTGATTCAACTCCTTGTGGGTGAATCGACACCCCCTCCGTGCGCGAATCACGGCCTCAAACGCATCCGTAGTAACTTGAGACCATCCGGGGGCTCGGGGGCTTGCACCGCCTGCAAAAATTCGCCCCTGCTCATCTACCAGAAGAAACCCATTCCTGTGGAACTAGGTGAGTTTTTTTTTGCTTTGGAAGGGGCGGCTTTGGCTTACCTTGGATCCCAGGGAAGAACTTTGAAACCCTGCTTCGCTAGCTCGGCGACCTGCCCATTGGGGGAGTGAATACGGTCGCGAACACCAATGTAAGCTGTGGATGCTCGGTTACTGTCCCTGGCGCAAAACTGCGTGGTTATTTGGTGGTTTTGAGCCCTGCGTCGAGTGGCAACCGCCTTTACGGAAGTTCCGGCCTGCGCTAGCAGCCTCTCGCGCTGGTCTCGGCGTTTGGCTCGTTTGTTCTGCTTATTGCGTGCCTTGGAATTCAATTTCTGAACCCGATCTGGATCGCTCACCCCTCCGCGCACAATGATGTGTTCGTCTACGCCACTCGCCGCGTTCTCCATCGACGGGCTATCTGTGCCGCTCGCGTTATCCATCTCCCTGCGGGCAACAACATGACCGTTTACGCCACTCGCCACATTCTCCTTCGACGCGCCATCCCTCGCGTCATCCATGCAACCAACATTCTCTGCTCCATCAGCGGGAACATCAGGGTCCACATCTGACTCCAAGTCGGTGAGATCGGATTCCTCGCCCATCTCTGATAAGGCGTGCAATTCAGACCTGGGGTCTTCAAGGTTTCCCCTCGCGACCGCCGCGTCCAATAAGTTGTGCAAGTCGACTGACGTGTCGTACCGCACAGGCAGTTCCCATGGAGAAAATACGGTGCCAGATCTCGTCTTGCGCTCTGAATAGGAACGGCAAAGGTTAGTAAATTGCATTGCATGTGTTCAGAAAAGGGAACTAATATAACAAGGGAAAGAAAAAGTTAAACGCCGCTCCGGCGCAGCGAAGGAAGGTGCACTCCTAGCTCCAAGGTCGGAGCCCGGAGGTGTTTGAAGGAGGTAATGTGAAGCTTAAACAGAAATGCTTACCGCCGCTCATTCCTTCAACCTCAGGCCTCAGTGGCTTGTTGGCAATAATTGACTTGGCGATGTGGGTTGAAAATAGTGTCACGGGTCCGCGTCAAGGTGCCGCTCAAGCAACAACAAACAACCGTGCCTCGCACCCCTAGCATCCTCCTAGCTGCTACCATCGAAGATCGGATTCCTCAGAGAACGATCAGCGGCGAACTAAGTAGCAATATTCTCTGCAATACGTGACTAACTGACACCGCAGAGGGTAGCGTGTGTTGAATCTCCTGTTTCCATACCCTCATTTGGACGCCAGCGATCCATTCTACACCATCCTATCAGTGAAATGGCTATACACGACATACCTGACTGCATACTGTGAGTGCGCTCTCTACAACCCAAAAAATCCACACACCCACCATGTCTCGACGCAGGAACACTAAGCGAAAGCGCGCCAATGATGTCTTCGAAGTTGACATCAACGACATACTCAACAACGAGCCATTCATTGCATCCATCGGACGAGTCTCTGCTGACGGACGCCGTGTCAGGAATGAGGTAGTCTCCCTGCCCATTTCGAATGAGGTAGTCTCCCTGCCTAGGAAGCAGGCACGCTTGGATCCTCCTAATGTCCTGGCCGCATCATCTAATGGATTCGACTTCACCTTCTGTATGAACGAAGACTCATGGAAGTTTGAAGGCAATGAAAAAACAAAGGCAAGACGCTACGCATCATTGGTACGTACTGCTGGCTTACTATACTGTTTTTGTGGAGCTGACAATCCTTGTGGCTAGGACGATCCTCTCAAGGAATGGGTACCGGTGGCTGGTGAGTTTCTACTTGAACTCTTGAGGATTGAGGGGCCAGGCTGCTCGTCCCTCAATACTTGCGGATCCTGCAAGAAGGTGCCGGTCGAAGAGGAGCAGTCCCTGTTCAGGTGTCGCGATTGCTTCCACTCCACCCTTTTGTGTTCCGCCTGCTGTATCAGAAAGCATGTTGAATGTCCCTTCCACATTATCGAGGTGCATAAATATTCCTGTTTCATTGGCGGTATTACCAGCTGACGAAATTAGAAATGGAATGGAAAATGCTTTCTGCGCACCTCACTCAAGACTATCGGCTTACGGGTTCAGCTTGGACACTCACCAGGGGACGCTTGCTCTCATCCTGCGTGTGCCTCCAATGTTGTTGTGCTTCATACGAACGGTATACACCAAATCGCGGTCGACTTCTGTGCCTGTGAGCACGTCGGTACATATGGTTTAATGAGGCAACAATTCCTTCGACACCGGCTATTTCCCGCAACCATCGACCAGCCTCAAACATGCTCAACGTTTTCACTTCTCGAACATTACCGCATGCAAGCACTCCAAAGCAAGGTTACCATGTACGACTATTACATGGCATTGGAGAAGCTCACAGAAAACAGAGGGTTTGCTTCAGTTCCCGTAGGTCTTATTTTTCATCTAGAACTTGATGCTAACAATTCATCTCTAGAAGCACTACAAGGAGTTCGTACGGATGACTCGTCAGTACAGATACCTTACAGCCCTGAAGCGAGGTGGCAGGGCACACGTTCCATCTGGGATCTTGGGTACGGGTAATGGGGAGCTGGGAATCCAATGCCCTGCGTGTCCTACGCCTGGTGTTAACTTACCTCTTGATTGGGAATCAGCACCCCCAGACCGAAAGTACGTCAACCTAAACTGCGGAACAGTTCTAACATGAAGTCCTAGATTTCTCTATACTCTTTTTCTGGCCCTCGACGCTTGTTTTCGACTCAAACGTCGCATCGTCTCTTCCGTCGAGAAAGATCCTGGGTTGGGCATCGATTGGAGCTACTTTGTGGAAAATGAACCTTTCCGACGGTATATATTAACAGTAACTGATCAAAAGGAGGTAAGCACCGTCATCCCGACGGATGGGTGAAGTACTGACATACCGATGAGATGAGCACGTGCAGTGGGTTGGCCGCTCTCGACTACGCAAATACTAAGTTTTCACGAGGGTATGCTGCTACCGGGGTATGTCTTGGAGTGTGTGCCCGACACGAGATCATACAAAGGAATGGCGCAGCAGATTTGCAAGTTGGAGAAAGGTGAGTTATGTGATTGACTTTTAACAGTGTTGAATTCCGAATCAATACAGATACTGCAACATGGACTATTGCCTCGCATCCCTCCTCCGTCACCATGATCCAAAGCTAAACAAGCTCGTATCCTATGATATCGTGTGTCAATGGTCGAAACACGTTTTGGAACGACTTCAAAAACTTCCACCACTCGTCAGGCTTAAAATTGCCTCAAACGCCATCCGCTTCGCGATTCCAAAACTGCATATCCATGGTCACACCCAGTTCTGCCAAAGAACGTACTCCTTAAACTATCTGCCTGGCATTGGGCATACCAATGGTGAGGGTATCGAACGGCCATGGGCAAACATCGGGGCAACTTCGACTAGCACTCACGCAATGGGACCTGGAGCTAGGATTGAGACGCTGAACGACCATTGGAGCCATTGGAACTGGCAGAAGATTATAGGGATGGGTGAGCATGCTCTCGTTCATTGCCTTGTCTAACTCTAACAAATTAATATCAGGTCAACTTTTTGCAAAACGTCTTCGACTCGCGATTGCCGAGCGTGAAGTTCAACAAGAGTCCTTTGAGATATTCTCATCCAAGCAGGCCGAACGTATAGATACATGGAAGGCTATGGTATCGGCGTTCGAAGCTGATGGGAGCAAGCCAAACCCGTATGAAATACCATCCCATGGTGAGTTCAGTTCTTGGCTGTGCTCCTTTCTCATGCATTTCGTTAGGGATTACGGAGGCGGACGTTCGATTGCGGTTAGCCAAGTTGGAATCAGAGGATGCTGGAAAGGGTGTTCCTGCATTGCATGAAGTGGGCCCGAGTGGCTTCATCGTTGAGGGCTTGGAGATTGAGGAGACACAGTACATTATCAAGTCACTGTGCCTGATTCTGACATTGACTTCTCGAGAGGCGACGAATTTCTGCATACGTCAAGAAGGCCTCGGGGTCTGCTCAAAAACTCAACGGAGTCGACATGCGAACAAAGCTTACTCGCTCCCTAGCACGGCTTAGAGTCCTACAGGGCATTTACACCCCATGTGTCATTCACAAGCTCACTACTCGCGACACCCCAGATGAGGAGAAGGCTGAGTCCTGCCCTCTGCTCCTGCCCTCTGCCCTTACTCCCGAGGAACGTCTCACATGCGCTCCAGGCCTCGTCCAGATAGAGCAGGAGTTACGGGATGCCCAGTGCCGGTCGGCGCTCAACGAGCTACGCACCCTCCTCTTCATCAAGGCACGACTCGTTGGGTACAAGGACCGTAACGCAAGACACCAGCACGCAAACACCAGGGCACGTATTTTGATCGAACGAAACGAGGATCGCATTAAACTTCAAACGCAAAAGTACCAGGCTGCATGGCGTGCCTTGACGAACATGTCACACGACGTGGGATGGCCTCAGTTGAAGCAGGAGCACATCCGGTGCATGGATGACCCAGATACATTAACAGAGCGACATACAAGGCTGGCACGACAAGTTGAGAAGGATGGAGTGGATACAATACTGGTGGAAACGGGTGTCAAAGAGGGTGACGTAGCCTGTGATGCACAGGTTGAAGGTGAGACGGTAGGAGAGGAGAGGAGAGTGGCAAAGGAGGGTTACCGGACAATTTCTTGGATCTGGGTGGATGGGGACTACTCAGAGGAATCAATGTCTGATGGGATGGATACAGGTAAGTGAGCTTTCATGGTGGTTATCAATCTTGCTGATGTAGACGATCTGTAGCTCTGAGAGTTGAATGGGCAAAGGCATGGTCCCGTGTACGTAGATGGGAGGAGGAGGTGGATTTGTTGAGAGAAGAGATGCGTCGAACACTGGTGAGCCTTCGACATCAAGCTAGAACATGGGAAAGCAAGGCAACGAACGGCAGCGGCCCACCAGACGTCCTAGCTGGGCTGTCCGCATATGCTCATCGGCAAGCACATATTCGGTACGCACTTGCCAGTCGCTTCGAGGAGATATGGTGGGGTAAAGATACCAAAGGTGACGACGATGAAGAAGAAGAAGAAGCGGCGGGGGAGGGGGACGAGGAGTACGGAACGGAACGAGGGGTACGGAACGGAACGAGGGATACGGAACGGAGGAATCATTCTGATTGGCTAGACGATTGTTCCGAACTGTGCGAAAATACTACTATAAAAGAAATATATGATAAGAATATGATAAGATAACAATACTATGATAGTAGATAATGATAACATTGGCTTGATAATGATAAGATCATCATAGATCAACCCAGATACAATAAGATCAGTGATAAAATGATAAGATCAGTGATAATATAAGCCAGAGATAATAATATGATAGAGATAAGCCAGAGATAAGCCAAATTTGGCCGGGTAGGCAAACATTGTAATGGACCTGCAACCACGGTAGCTACATATTGCATTGTTACTACAGCCTAAGGTGGCCCGGCCAGTGCTAGCACTGGCCGGGCTAAGATAGATGGTGGGGATAACCGAAACACAGTGTCAGAAATCCGTAGCCACACTGTGGCTACGGTGGGAAAATTTTATATACCTTAGAAATATTATATTAGCACCTCGTAGCCACACTGTGGCTACGCTCAGTGGTAGAAAAATTGAATATACATTTGAAACCTTAATTAGCAATTCGTAGCCACAGTGTGGCTACGATATTTTACTTAGTAATGAGTGGGCCGCGACGGAGTTTCAATCTCGGCCGCCCGGCGACCGGGTCCGTCGTCGCTGGCTCAACCCAATGGCAGGGACGGTTTTAGAAACTCGTAGCCACAGTGTGGCTACGGTGAGAAAATTTATGTACCTTGAAATACTATATTAGTAACTCGTAGCCACAGTGTGGCTACGCTCAGCGGTAGACAAATTCAATATACTTTTGAATATTGAATGAGCAATATCGTAGCCACAGTGTGGCTACGATATTTTACTTAGTAATGAGTGGAGCGGGACGGAGTTTCAATTTGGGCCGGCGACTGGGTCCGTCGCTGCTGGCTCGACCCAATGGCAGGGACGGTTTTAGAAACTCGTAGCCACAGTGTGGCTACGATAGCAAAATTAAATATACCTTGAAATCCTTTAGCAACTCGTAGCCACACTGACGGTCCCAACATTGAACGGTCCCAACATTGAACTTCATCTTAAAGCGTTAGAGCTCGTAAACGAGCTCTAACGCGGACCCACCATTGAGTCTCTCATTGAAGTGTTAGAGCTCGTTTACGAGCTCTATCCACTGACTCCGGACCTAGTGCTGGGTTAGGTCGGCCCAAAACTGCTACTTCTGGGCTACCCTACCTCTTTCTTTCAACCTTATCATATCACTTATTGGCCAGAACCCTGTTATATATCACACAAAGATGGATATTTTACTATTCAACTACCAAGTTAGATAGCTATGTGGCTTGGTATTAGAGCGTTAGAGCTCGTAAACGCGAGCTCTAACGCGGTTCCATGCCTTCTCATGCATGCAATCCTATCTTATTCTCTTGAAATCGAACAACTTACTTGGATTAGAGCCTTCAGAGATAGGAACTTAAGGGGCAGGAGCTTCGGATCCACGTATATTTCCAATAGAGCTCAGTTACAAGTGATATTGTCAGCTAGGTAATTGATCTTTCGGATTAAGGACTGCCTATAAACAATAAGCATTAGAGCTCGTTTACAAGCTTTAACGCGGACTCACCATCAAATGAAAGCCCACGGATTAGGGCCTTACGGCGTTAGGACCTTAGGGAGTTGAGGTTTAGGGTTTTGGCATATTGTATCTGGAGCTCGTTTACGAGCGACTGTCTCGGCTGGTTAGGTTAGGTGAGTGCAGGAGTAGTCGGAATTAACATTGCATACAAGCTACAAGGGTTAGAGCTCGTTTGCAAGCTCTAACCCGGACCCATTACAACCCCCAAGCCAACGTACTAGGGCTGTAGGGCATTAGGATGTTAGGGGGTTGAGGTTTCGGGTTTCGGTATATTATCTTCGGAGCTCGTTTACGAGTGACTGTCTCGGTAGGTTAGGTTAGGTGAGTGCTGGAATATTCAGACTTACCATTGCCTTCCACAAGTTACAAGCGTTAGAGCTCGCTTACTGCGCAGAGACTTGAATGAGCAGATGGCCGGGCGCATCAAAGGCCGGAGGCGAAAGGCAGATGGGAGACGTGAGAGACGGTGGCCCAAGGTCAAGAGACCACGGCGAATGTGCTAGGACGGGTAGACACTGGTCCACCATGAGCGGTGATCACGGCGAACGGAGGGGGCAAAAGCACAACAGGGTAGGGCAAACAAGGAGGTGGTTATGGGCATCGCAGACAAGTGAGCAAGACGACCATGTGACACAGGGGCTCCCCCAACAAGGGAGTGGCTATGGGCATTGCGGCGAAAGGAGAGGGTGGGTTCACACCATTGTGCAGAGATGGGTGTATGAGACAGGGGCCCGCACAAGTTGCGGGTGGCTTCGGGGATTGCGGCGAGGGGAGGTGGAGGGAGAAGTTGGAGATAGGGGCTCCCCCAACGAGGGGGTGGCTACGGGGATGTCGGCGAAGAGGGAATGTGATGGAAGGATGGGGGAAAGGAAGACAGGGGCACCCCCATCGAGAGGATGGCTACAGGCATCACGGCGAAAGGAGAGGAAGAGTCGACGTCATCCTGCGAAGACGTGTTTACGAGACAGGGGCCCGCACAAGTTGCGGGCGGCTTTGGGGATTGCGGCGAGGGGAGGTGGAGGGAGAAGTTGGAGATAGGGGCTCCCCCAACGAGGGAGTGGCTACGGGGATGTCGGCGAAGAGGGAATGCGATGGCAGGATGGAGAAACGGAGACAGGGGCTCCCCCATCGAGGGGGTGACTATGGGCATCGCGGCGAAGAGGGCTGCACGCTAGCGAGCCAGCCAATTGCCGCCAGCCATTCAGCCTGTCTCACCTGCCGTTTGTAAGTATGTATATGCGCGCAAACTTCCAACGACATACCGTGAATGTGCCACCTATCTTATACATCCCCCTTCCTCCCAACCCTCCTCCTCTGGCCGTACGCTCGGACTCGGATACCCACACACTGCCGATGTTGCATTTGATGTCCCTATATGCGCGCGTGTCATTCCGCCTCCGAGCTTCCTCTGTGAACCACGAGTGTGGGTGAGGGCACGAAGGGGGATGTAACACGGTCGCCAGTTTGAAGACAACGGTGGGGTGAGAGCTCCGGACGCGCCAGTCGTGGACGGATTGCGCAAGGCGCGAGGCTGGTGGAAGTGGGGCATTCATTGATGTCTGAAGGAACTTGATAGTGGTGGCGTCAGGCCTAGCCAGTGTTTGGCTTTGTCCGCGCTCCTGCAGCAGCCATCGTGCGCGTCCACTAAAGCCCACATGAACCAGATGGTTTTCCTAATGGAGTGGAGACTCACCTGACTGTTTTAGGGCGATATCTTACCATATCCACCGCAACTCACCTGTATCCCCTCGTTCGCTTTGCTGGCAGCACACGCGTCTGTCTTCGGAGCGAGCGAAATTGGTTACACATGTTCGGCGCAGTACTGTTCCATAATGTCGACACGGAGGAGGAAACGGAGGAGAGATAGGGAGAGCGGCGAAGGGGCAGGCCATCATCCCCTCGTTGTCGTTGCTGTCATCGTCGTAGTGCGCAGTTGAGAGGTTGGTGAGCAGTTGAAAGCTTGGTGGACGAAGTCGGCTCACGGAGCGGAGTTGGATCAAGCACGTGGCGCTTGTTCGAGCGCCACAATGCGGGGCAGTCCTCAACTCGCCCTCAATCGTTTTCGTCGATATCGCCACCGTGCACTGGGAATACAAGGACACAGAGGTATGGTCAATCCTAATCCTTCAGACCAAGTAAAACTTACCACAAGCAACAACTCCAGATGAATCCAACCTCAGCCAGTGCCCCTTGCAAACACGGGCAGTAGCGGCGAGTTTCCTGAACGGTACCAGCAGCGCTCCATGCCAAGTAACAGGCGCGGGGGGTGTCTATTCAGCGGTCGGAATCGTACGGCGGCACTTCCGCTATCCCTCACCACCTCTCTCTCTCCGCATTAACGCCCACGATTTGCTGGACTTACTCGGGAAACGACCACGATACAGACGGGCTGGTGGGAGAGGGCGCGGTCGGAGTCGAGGAATAGGACGGCATGGGCGGAGCCGTCATGACTAGGAAGGTACTAACATCGGGCAGGGAGAAGGAGGAGGAGTCCACGGCGATGGGCCTTGCGATGCAGATGGGAATGCGGGGGCCAAGGTGCAAGCAACGGTAAAGACAGCGCCGTCCCCGACGAGGCGTAAATCGGCGAAAAAGCGTACGGCAGCCGCGAGGCTTGTCCACCAGCGCAATCTTGCTGTGAAGAGGCGCAGCGTTGACGATGTTCGCTCGGATGACGAGGCAAAGAATGGAGGCGGGGTCTGGAAGACAAGGTGAGTTCATCCATAGTGTCTGAATGTCCCCGTCGAGCACGTACTCATGTGTGTATGCCTCCCATTGCAGATACTTGAATCCGAGCCTCCTCCGCCACTGAAGCCCAGATCGCCGTCGATACCACTCCCCAGGCGCGCCTCGATATCAATATCAGAACAAGAAACGCAACTGCAGGAGGTAGAGAGGCCACCTATACCCTCCCGTGTCAGGCCGTGGTTCTGGGTGATGTGGTTTCAGACCAGACAGATGGGACGTTTCCCCCTTGTCTCCCTCCCTCGCACGTCGAACCTCTTGAGCTCGAAGAAGCACTCGTAACCACCTTCACATTTGACGTCTGGATGCAAGCCTCGCCAACTGACATCAGCTCGAGGTGAGTAATGCGAAATGTAACGATTGCACGAAGAACTCACGGAGTAGCACAGCTTACCTTCGCCCTCCACCAAGCTCTGCTCCCAACCATTGAAACCTCGTCCCTCCATCCCCGTCCCTATTCCTCACAGACACTGCGCCATTGCTGGCTGCGAAGTGGGTGAGGTCATGTTACGGATCTTGCGGCACGACCTCTCAGTTCGACCCCATCCCACCGCCCCATCCCACCACGGACCCGTCGACCTCGACTACATATACAATGCCGCGAACGGTGAAACACCACACGGCCTCCTGCCCTCGAGTACGACTTGCTAGGTAGTTTGTATGCACAGTCTGGATGCTCGCACCCTCAATCCCAATCCTGCCTCCAATTTTGATCCGGCCTCTCTGTTCTCCGCGACGAGCGCATGCAGGTGGTATGAACAGCGTGGCACGAACACACAGTCGGCGGAGCAGAAACCTGAGACCGGCGCATATGTGAGTACAAGCGCCAACATCTTAGTCGACGCCTGGCGGCAAGCTTACCTAACGATCGTGAAACAAGCGCCACCGAACTTGCGCCACAACCGCCAAGTCCCCATCGACACGACACGTACGACAACACATTGGTCTTATCCAACCAAAGCAACCTCCCGCCCTCACGCATGATCGACAATCACCAGATCGAGGATTCTGCTGCAGATAGCCATCGACGCACAACTCACAACCATGCTGGCTACGCGGACACAATTCGCGGAGGTAAAGGTAGCGGAGAACAAACGGGTTAACGCCTCACATCTCGCAGGAGAACCAGAGGGCCGCGCTGGCAGGTTCTCAACACGCGATGTGGTGACGACAAAGCTCCGGCGTTAACACAAGCAGCAGGGCTACGTGCAGAGAGGAAAGGTTGGGATGAAAAATGGAAGGAGAGACAGATTGGGGGATCAGACGACGGGCGGGGGATGTGGGATGTGCCGAAGTGAGTACACGCCGTGTCCCTTGTGAAGATGTCACTCACCAGCGAAAATCTCCTCTAGGTCGTTCCCGGCGAAGTCTGCCCCATCTCCTCCATCCCCTTCGCTCCTGCTGCACCACTGCCTCTGTCAATGCATCACCATGTGCGGTCGGCGGCGCTCGACATTTCATGGAGACCTCTGGCCGATCGTCTGCTCCTCCAGCAGCATTACAACGACGAGAGGAGTGGTTGCACAGCAAAGGAGAGAGGGAACGTTGCTGGAGATATCGCCCAAGTTGCGAACGACCAAGGGACGCATGAACGAAGATGCAAGTAAGCACCCCGCTCACTCGCATGTTGGAATTACTTACCGATGTGCTACGTCCCCAAGACTGCCAGATGACGTCCACGCGCACCTTCTACATTAAGCATGCCCCTTGCCAATATCACTACCTTTAACCCACCAACTAGCGTCGCCCTCCCTCCACGATGGCCGATATTGGAACACGTAGATGGGCTGGAACTGTCGTCGTGTAGCTTGAACGCCCCAGTCTCATGCTGATAGTGAGCAGGGAGGGCAGTCACGCATCAACACGTCGCCCAAACTCTCCGTAGTCACACGCAGCCTCGGTAAAACCCCCGCGCAAACCTAGATTGGCCGAAATGTGTCGGATCGCGACGTATATCTGGCCGGAATTCAAACCAAGTGCCATTTCACGCCATACGCCATGCCAACCACAATCCCGCATTCTCGCACCCTCAACGTGACACCCAATCACCACACGCCCAGTCCCGGCAACGCCATGACCCTACTACTAGCTCGTTCCATGGCGTTAGTGACTGGGCACTCAGCAGCGCTGTCGTCGATTTGGCGCGCACACACAGGCTCAGCACTGCGAATAGAGACCGATGATGCTAGCGAGAGGGAGAGCAGAGGCAGGAAGGAAGGCACAAGTGATGGGAGACGTACAAAGAGAGTCGCGCGCTCAACTCTCATGACATTCAGCTTTAACGACGCGCCAGCCCCTTGCCCATTGACACCGATGATATAGGCCAGCCATACGTGTCTGCGAAGGGGAATACGCTAGCAGCTGGACCACAACGGGGGGATGCATCGATAGGGTCCTGCAGGCAAGGGGAGTGCTGGCCAAAGTAGGGAAATACCACCAACATAGCCTACGACGACGACGACGAAGCGAGATGATGGAAGATGCAGATGAGGAACGCCTGGGACGCTGAGACGTCAGTAACACGCCGACGCGAGGCGAACGAGCAAGGGAATGACGCACCCCCTCGTCTCTTTGCCTTGGGTCCTCGTCCTCATCTCTTCGCCCTTCATCCCCGTCCTTGTCCTTCGTGCCTTCGTCCGGCGCTGACCTGGCCTGGCCTAGAGTGCGTTTGCGGTGGCGCGAGCTTGGGCTGGCGCGGAATTACCGTTGCGAGGACGGGGAGGAGCGGACAGGGAGACGGAGGAGACGGCTGGAGGAAGGAGGGAGTCAGCGTGCGAGTCAGCAAGGGTACGAAGAAAGCTCAGAACGAGAGAACGAGGGGTGCGGGAGGGTTGAATGGGTACAGCGAAGGGAGTACGAAGGAAAGGGTGCACGGGCAAGGGCGACGACGAAATGCGAACGAGTACGGGGTATATACGAACGGCGAACAGTGGTTCTTGTTCTGTCTAGGTGGCTGGTCCTAGGTTCGACGGTGATAGCGTTTGGGGTACGTCGAAGCTGGATAATGGATTGCGTTAGCGAAACGAAACGAAGAGGGAACGAACACAGGAGCAATGGGAAGATGAGCGTGAACGATAGCGGATGGACTTTGGAGTACAGTGAGGCGAAGCGAAAGCGAAAGGGAGGTGATGGAGGGAGAAGGAAAGCAGAATGAAGAGGTACGTACCGGCCATTCTTATCGGCCATCTCGACTCTCGATGCTAACCTCCTCTTAGTTGCAGACTGCAGGCGACCCGAGACCCTCGCGTTCGCATGCATCGAGTAGTCGCGCGCGACCTGAAGGCAATCCACCGTAGGTAGCCCTGAGAGTCAACGATGTAACGTCATTAGATAAGTGGGCAATAAACGGGTTTGGTATAGCGTACCTGAGTGGATGGAAGGTCAGTGGCAGGGGATTTAGCGTCTAGGTGAAAGTCGCGGTCAGTGACTGGCTGACTGGGTGGAGGAGATATAAGGAAATAATCATAAGGGATTGTAAGGTACGCACTAGTTCGGTCGTCATTCGTACGTGTACTGACGGGAGTTCAAGATGGATTCGTTCCGGTGTGGACCTCCATCTGTCTGTCGTTCAATTAGTCGGGCGTTCGGCTGGTCTATGGACGGGAACTCACTCGCTGACGCACTCGTCACTCAGACAGGCCCCTCGCGTCGTCATCGCGCTCACGGTGACACTTGTCGTCCACCCAGATCCCAAGCCCCCGTGTGGACTGCTGGACCATTCGCAGCACCCCATGCCTCGATCTGCACCCCACAAACCCCGTCCATTCCATTTCGATTTCATTCAATTCGTTGCGTGTCGTCGCAGCCTGGTTCACACAGCTCACGGGGACGGCTCAGACGTCCAGCACAGTCCGCGCCCTCGTCACTCCGACTTGGTGCGCCTGCGTCTCTCGGGTCTACGTCTATGACTACACCTACTGATCGTTCCCCACCCTCGCCGCCGAGGCGTATCTCAGATCCCAGATTGCGCGCTTCGACGCTGGACTCCGTGGCCCCGTATGTCCGCCACCAGCGCACCACCCGGCTGGCCGAGAAAGAGGTCGTGGAAGGAGTTTTTCCCCCTGCATTGAGAGCGATTCCATATACCGGAAAGCTACCTCACCCACATATGCCTACACATCTTGCCACAACTTTGTCGTCAGGATCGAGGAAAGAGATCATCGACCGGGTGTGGAAGGCCTTCCTTCCAAGGAGTGTCGACAGCGAGACGTATGGTCCCTTCTTCAAGAATTCCACTGGATTGAAGAGCACCGCATGGAGTACGTGCATCCTCCTTGCTGATGGTTTGTGTATTGACGCCGAAGTATGTTAGACAAGACCTTGAGATATATGATATCCCGAATACGACACTCCCGTCGACGCGAACGATTCCTTTTGCCGTCCGCGATGAGCCACGATCGCCTATCACTGCGAGTATGAGACTGCGATGGACAGTGTCACCTGCGTCTGCGACTTGGGGGACCCAGGGCGGCTGCTTCCCTCTTCGCGATAGTGCATGCTTACCGAACAATCAGCCGACAGGCGCTGCCACCCAGTCTCCCTTGTCTCACAACCACCAACGCCTGCGACCTCCACCCCGCCAATGCATGCGTACCAACGCCGGGCAATCTCAAGATCTCATCCCTGGTGTGCACGGCTCCCCGCCAACTCAGGGCACGACTCATCCAGCTGGCATGACACCATCTCTCACGCGCACCCTTGGCTTTACGACGGCGACGATAAGAAGCGCAGCATAAAGGGGGGATAGAGAACGACTACTGATCTAGGTCTGTAATCTATCAACGATTCGATCTGACGGCTTATTCCTCGTCAGTGCCGCGCCTTCATCAGCCCATCGTCCACGATCCACGCCGAAGTTGTCTGCCAACGACGCGATGACCGCCAGGACTTACCCTACGCCCCAAATCAGTACTCCGCAACAATACAAAGAAAAGGAGAACCCCGAGAACACGAGAAAAAACAACCCGAACAGCGACTTTACGTAAGAGAGGCAAAGGCAATAAGCAATATCGGCGCCAAACGGCCCTCGAGCACCCAGGTAAGCTCGCGCCCGCCTTGGTTTTCCCACCCAGTCGCCTTATACCACCGCAGACGCCCTCGACGGCCTTTGGGCAAACGTCGCGCATCATTCATCGGGGAACGTGTCAGTGAACGAACGAGGACGACGGCAGAGAAGATTGGGAGGCGAACGAGAGGGAGAACGAGAACGAGGGACGGAAAACGAGAACGAGAGAGAAAAAACAAGACGAGAAGGGGGAACGACGGGGAGAATGAACGAGGAGCCCCTCTCTCACAATCTTGCAAGCTACGCGGCCAACGTGTCCAACTCTCTGACGTACGCTACGCCTTACGCCCATCAGTATCCGAGGGGAGACAAACGAAAAGGGGGTTAGGAATGGGTATATTAACTCAACTGGGTGTGTACTCTACTATTACATCTCCTTTCAGCCGCCGCGTACCTTAGCCACAGACCACTTCACGCCTCTCCAACTCGTACTGTCGGCCTTGCACCATCTGCTCGCCTCCCAGCCCACAACACAAGGACCCTCTGCCTCTAAAGCTGCTCGCCGCAATGTCTGCAACCCAGGGTCCACTTACTTCGCACATGAACACGTTGTACCGCAACTGCGAGCCCAAACGACAGTGTACCGGGGATAGCCAATGCCAGCAACGGGTTACGCACCACGCCGCCGTCTATCATCGCCCGAAGAGGCTAGCGCAGCTAGGGAAGGAAGGGAACCTGATACGCATGCGCGGGATGGCGGCGACGGTTAACGAGCTTCGAAAATGCGAGGCACAGAGGCGTGCTGGGCTCGTTCATAGGAGACGTCGATGTTGACGGCGTGGGCTACGGGCACAAGGTGGAGTGGGAGGTGGCACGGGTTTTGCAGCGGCGAGTGGGCGTAGACGGAGATAGGGTTTAGTTGTTTGCCCGCAAGACCATACCCAAACAAGGGCGGGATGGCTCAGGCGCATCCAACTCTTCTGCAACCGACAAACTCGTCCTCTTCACTGTCAGAGAAATCCACCAATCATCCACATCTTGAACGATGTCTCTATTCTCAAGTCTCCTGCGCTGTTGTACGCGTTCGCGTCGCGATTCTTTTGTAAGCTGGCCTCAAAACTTCGTGCCTACTGTTCGTTAATGCTTTCTTTGTCGACAGGATTCCGTGAACAAACGGACTTCCCTTATACACAATGAACATCTCGGGTATGCGATTAACTTCTACTTAGTGCGATGGAAGGTATCTAACGTTACATAATGCACCGAAAATCTCGTCGACGTTCAGCCAGACCAGGACATCGTCGACCAGCAACGCCTGAGGGATAGATGGGCGGCGGTGGTACGCGAGAAAGAAGGGTATGTTTGACTTACACTGCGTACACGCGCCTTGCCTTCATACAACTATTTCGCAGGAGACTCGTCAACATATCCATCAACTTCTATAATCGCATTCATATACCCGCAGCGTATGGCCCAAGCTCGTCCAGGAGCACCAGCACATCACTGGAAAGATATCACTATCCTTCCAGACGCACGGAGCCTGGGCTATCCACCGACCCAATCCTCACACCGTCACCCGTCGACTACCTTGCTGCCGCGTTCTCGGAGGACATAGTGCCTACCATTGTTGACCCATACGGAGTAGACATCCATCGTGCCAACGGCGACGGTGACAATGGAGGGGGTAATGGAGAAGGCCGCGTCCTGCAAGCGCATATCCGCAATCCAATCCTCGGAATCCGGCTCGTCCAGCCTTCAGCTTCCGGGGCTGGCGTTGATCTGAAAGGGAAACACGCGGAGGTCATGAGGGGCAGGGATCGCGTCGTCTGGGGTCCTACCCATCTTGTTGATGTTGATAGCAGTATCCCGGCCTTGGGCGCGGACTCGGAGATAACACCCACGCCGTCCAGGCTGGCCGTGCAAACACAGGTACGCGGTCTCCCTTCATCGACATCTATCATTATATCCCTTCAAGTCGTTCTTTTACTGATACCATACTTCCTCAGATGCCCCCGCGTGCCTCTCCTAATGATGCGGACTTGGACGTCGGCGAGATCTGCGTCGGCTGGAGCGACTGAGCGGGGTTCTCGGGCTCCTTCCTTGGATCACCTGGATCGGGGAATCATTGTTGGCGTCCGTGTTGGGTAGATGGGGTAGATGGGGAGGTGGGATGGGGGAGGTGGGGAGGGCTCGAATGGGGCACGAATGAGTTCTCTGCTTCTATTCTCTCTGCTGGCGCTGCCAGAGGTGAGCACCCTGTGTTCCTTCAGCGATGCAGATGCCGACCCGCAAGCCTCAGGAAGTCTCCTACCCGCCCGTATGCCTGTGATGGGCTCCGGCTCTTGTTCCTTCGATCTTCATCCCATCCCAATCTCCGGAGCGCCGCAAGTTGTCTGTCAAGCCACTCCGATACTGGCGATGGGGTGGCGCTGATGCTGGCGCAGCAACATGCCTCTGCCATCCTGGTCGTCGACGCCTTGCCGTTGTGCGAGGCTCACGTAACCCTTCGCGCATCCCCAAGTCGAGGGATTCTAATGTGTGCACTAGAGGGTAGGCCTGTTGGGAAGGGGGCGTTAGAAAGATATAAAAAGGGTGAGGTTAGATGGTGGAAGGGCAGCAACCGACTGCCTGCTTACCTCTCATCTCACCTCCCTCTCTCGCCTTCCTCCATCATTTCTCACGCCGCTGTCGACACTTTTGAAGCCCTCAACCTGGTGTTTGTAGGCCAACTGCGATGCTGATGGACCCCCTGCGCATCGTCCTGGTGAGTCGTTTAAGGCGTCCGTGATAGGTCCTGCAGCTTGCTGATGTTCCGCCACTAGCTGCTCCTACTTGTCATCTCCGTAAACCATCTCCCTGCTCATCAAGGGTGCACAACGGCGCAGTCGACGTGTAGCCGACGAGGACGGCCTGCATCGTCCGATGAGGACAATACCACCATCGAGGGAAGGGAGCTGCACGACAGGTGTAAGTCAGTTCCTAATCGTGTAGCAAGCGGCGGAAAGACTCACCACGACCCGGAACAGACGGATTCGCCGACGAGCACTCAAGTCCGGGCCAACGCTAGGCAAAGATACGTGGACAGAGTGAGCTAAGAAGGCGGTACCTGGGTCTGCGCAGTTTTCTCCCGCCATCCGCATTCCTCTCGAGCCCATTGCTACGCCCTCCCACCGCCCACACGACTTCTGTCTCTGGACTGAGATGATGTACATGACAGTGCCGCCCTCGGAACGTCCGGGGATTGCGGAAAAGGATTGCGGAAGTGGAGAGCAGCGAAGGGACAAGGAACTATTGTGTGGGAGCCAGGTATGTTCCCCGTGCTCTAATATAGCTGGCCGCAGACTCACCAGGCAGCATAGTCGAATCATCGACACCCCGTCCCTCCTGTGCCAACATCGCACTCTGAGGCTGCGGTTGCCCGGGCGCAGGCTTGCCCATTTGCGTCCCCTCATACGCACGCCTCTCAAAACTCCCCTTCAGTGCAACACAACCCTGCCAATCCGCGCCTCAGTACGTCCCTCCTTTCCCCCTCTCTCACTCTCGCATACATCCTCGTCCTCACTCAGCCACCTCAGCCACTCACTCCATTCCCTCTCTCTCGCTCTTTCCCTCTCTCTCGCTCTTTCCCTCACTCGCGCTCCCATCCTCGCTCAGCCACTCCGACTCTCCCTTCAACCTCACTCACCTCACGCGCCGCAGCACGCCTACCCTACGTCCCGACACCCAATCCGACGCGACTCCCTCACATGACCCTCAAAACGGCTGCCACCGACTACCAACGGCCTACTACAATCCCACGTCGCGCTCTCTCTTTCCCCGTCCAACGTGACGCCATTGAGCGCCCTCAAGACCCTCGCATGGCCGTCCCCCGACGCATTCACTGCCAGCGCTGCTCTACCCCTCCCGTCAACTCCAAAACGACTACTACAATGGCTACCTACGACCCCCAACCACCCCAGCAACTGTGCGCTTGCTCACGAACCCCCAACTCAACTTCACGCCCCCAAAACGGTCAACAACGACCCACAATCCCATAACGCCGCCCCACGCTGCCCAGCATCCCGCTCCGTGAATCCAAATCGCGCAAGTCGCTCGACCTAGATGCGTCAGAACGCGTACGCGTCAGCAAGTCAGAATTGAAGGCACGAACGCAGACGAGATACGTAAACGAAAGAGAACCCCATAAACGGCGTATGCAAAACGGGGCGTAGGGAAGAAACGGGGCGAATAGCAAACAAAACAACAAGGAACGTGCACAGACGGTGCCGCAGAATAGACTCATCACGATGGAATGGGGCAGAGACGGAACGGGATACGAGATATGAAGGCGACGCCGAGGTATGCACCTACTTGGTTCTGGTTTTCGGTTTCGTGGGACGAGCGTTGACGTTTGCGCTGGCGCCGGCGCTGCGTTCGCGTGTTGCAAATCGGGTGCGTGGACGTGGAATGTGGAATGTGGGGTCTGGCGCGGTGGGCAATGGGTGCCTGGTAGCGGGTAGCGGGTAGTAGGTGCCTGGTAGGTAGCGGTGGACACGCATAATGAAGTAATTGAAAACGAGTAATGAAGAAACGAAGACGAAGAATGAATGAAATGAAGAATAAGTGAAACGAAGAAACGAAGGAAGGAAGGAAGGAGCCCCCTGCGTGCGCGCCCTCGCCTCGACGCTCCTCCGATAATCGAATCCGAATCTGAATCCCGGGGCCAGCGCGAGCGGCTCGAGCTCAAAGCCCAGCCAATGTACGTACCCTTCCACATTTTGACCTCCCCTTCTCGTCTCTGTCGTGCCGACCTCCGCTTACAGGTTCGAACTCCTGTTCAGATCTTGGACAAACGAACGTAAGACGAGATCACGCAAGCAGCTCGAGCGAAGATGATGGGAATGATGAAGAAATGAGCACAGAGAGCTAACAAAGGCACGACGAGTATGTACGGTAAGTACCCAGTCGGCTTCGATATCCGCTCCCCCGGGATTCAAACTCATTTCGCCACAAGTGCCGTGTGGGTGTTGTAGCCAATTTTGGCGCCACCGACACCTATGATCGCGAAAAAATCAGTCGTACAGAGCGTGGTTCAGACCTTGCAAGACAAATTAAGAAGGCCCGAGGCAACGACAAGCTGCGACAGGAAGAGGATATTGGCTTGCCAGTGGATCAGCATCACAGGTACGTCTACGAGCCAAGACACCTTGAACTACTCACCTAGCATAACTCACGCAGAGTCCACGTTGCTCCGAAATGTACCTGCCCCCCTCCTCGTATCCATTTGAGGCCAGCGTTCATGTTCCCGTGGCTCTGTGCGAGCCTGAGTTGGGCAGCGGTATGGCGGTGTGAATCGCCGTCATGGAGGGTGCCCTTCATCCACTGCTCTGTCCACCGCGCGTATTTGAGGACAGCAAGAGGTTGTTCAAGCATTTGCCAGCCTTGGGCAGTCGCAAGGCCGTGATGACAAGACCGCAGGCCGTACCTGGCCCGATCCTCCTCTGGCAGCAGTCGTCTTTACGTGGTGCCCCATAACTGACGCCAGGGTTGCCTGATTAACGCGAACCCGGGCGTAGGCCATGCAGCACGACAACGGCGAGCCGAGACGCGGAGAATGAGGGAACGGGGAATGGGGAAACGAGGTAATGAGAAACGGGCAACGGAAACGAAGGGCGGGGAATGGGGAGCGAATGTACGGCAGGGAAAGAAACCGAAAACGAAACACTGACGGAACGGTTACGCAAACGCGAATCCATGAAGGGCCAGTCACGATGAAACGCCGGTGATGGACTCTCACTGAGAACGAACGGGAAAACGATGCTTAAGGAGCAGGCGCGTGATGTAGACGGAGCTGCGCTAGCATACCATACAATGTTAACAATATACGTGTGTACGCGTACAATGTTAACAATGCGTTGTTAACACCATACGGGTGTACGCGTATTATTGTTAACAACACTCCTTCTACGCGCGCACTGTTAACATTTTACTAAGGTAAACCATAGGGAATTGTATTAAAATGTTTAAGGTAAGTTAATACAGTCAAATGTCTCTAGTTTCTATTCGAAGTCTGTTATCGACGTCGCGAGGGAGGCTTCTCGCCGAGACCAGGTGCAGGTACAGTAACCATAGTCTTCAAGGTGCAATCTGCTTCCAACCACCACCCTAGACAAATGAAAACCCCGTAAACACCGTTCGTTGATCCACGATACAAGTCAGGCCAGTCTTGGTGGCTAGTAGTGCTGATGCGAAGAAGAAGTGAGCAGTCTTGCAGAGATTCGTCGAAATTCAGAGGGATACGGCTCTTCGGTTGCAACACAAACCACCACGAAAAGAGTTCATTGTGCAGCTGGTCGAGTTCATCCACCATGAGTTTCGTATGCTTTTCTGGGTCTCGCCCGCCGCGGATGTACATGCTGAGAATTGAAGGACGACTGGTAGCTGGGAGTGGCTGTACGCTTCGTGAGTTTTAACAGCTGACTGTTCATTATTTTAGTTGCTCACCTTCCCAGGGTTCCTCTTGACGTGGCGCTCAAAGTTGACGAGCTCCGCAATCGCACCCAAATAACCAGCATGCCCTTTGTAGGCGCGGAGGTAGCTCACAGCCTTTTGAAGCCAGCCAGGCAGCGGCTCCAATGCGATGACCCTCTTCAATTCGTCGTTCTTCGCCTCCAACTCCCTCACTTCATCGTCGTTGAGCACCTTTTCGCCTCCTTGAACATCAGTAAAATGTTAACAGTGCGCGGGTAGAAGGAGTGTTGTTAACAATAATACGCGTACACCTGTATGGTGTTAACAACGCATTGTTAACATCGTACGCGTACACCCGTATTATTGTTAACAACATATGGTAAGTACGATGTTAACAACATATGGTAAGTACGATGTTAACAACATACGGGTGTACGCGTGTGGTGTTAACATCGTACGGGTGTACGCGTAAAATGTTAACAACATATGGTAAGTAAGATGTTAACAATATACGGGTGTACGCGTATGGTGTTAACATCACATTGTTAACACTATACGGGTGTACGCGTATATTGTTAACATCGTACACGTACACCCGTATTATTGTTAACATTGTATGGTAAGTACGATGTTAACAACATACGGGTGTACGCGTGTGGTGTTAACATCGTACACGTACACCCGTATTATTGTTAACATTGTATGGTAAGTACGATGTTAACAACATACGGGTGTACGCGTGTGGTGTTAACATCGGTATATCTGGTGCTTTACCACATTTATACATGAAGCTCATATGAAGCACATGACTTCACATCTTCCGTACATTTATTTCATATAAAGGTCATATAAAGCCCACTTCTTTTGCGAAACTTTACATTCCTTCATATGGCTTTACATTTCTTCTACATTTCTTCTACATTTTCTTTACTTCTTCATGACTTTGAGGCAATAACAATTGTTGAGGAGCTTCACGTAAAGCTTATATGAACTGCATGTGAAGTTTATATGCGACATTCATATGTGCTTCATGTGAAGTCCATGTGAAGCACATATGAAGAGTTTATATTCATATGGATTACAACTAAGTTATGAGTTTATCTCATACACAAGTGCATACAAGCTTCATGTGTGGTTTATATGAGCTTTACATGTGATTTATATATGCACTACATGCACTTTATATAGAGTAAATGTATACTTTATATGAGCATCATGTGTGGTTTATACAGCATATATATATGCTTTATGTGCAGTTTATAACATACATGTACACTTCATGTGAACTTTATATGTGGTTTATGTGCGCTTCATGCGCACTTCATATGCAACTTATACATAGTAGAGGTAAATACTTTGACACATTTAGTCCTCCTCCTCCTCACTCTCCTCCTCCTCTTCACTCTCCTCTTCACTCTCTGAGTCTTCTTCATCCTCACTCTCCTCATCACTGTCTGTCATTTCTATTCCTGCTTCTTGATTCCTCTTCTTTTCCTCCTGCTTGGCAATGACCCATTGAGTGTGTATGAATAACAGCACATGCATCGTGAAGTCAAAGTTGCTAACTGTTATTCGGTTGAGAACAGTCTGGAAACCTCCAATCCATGCATTGAGCTGTTCACAGGCCTAAGCTCAAATTAGACAAGTATGACTGCTAGACCACTAAATTCACTTACCTGAGTGTTGAAAGCCCTCTTATAGTAAGGGTTGCCTTGCTTGTCATTGGCAACAACTACAAGATTTGGTGCATCTCCATTGAGGGGTGCTGGATTGCACCAGGTCCGGCAAAGATGATCAGTGATCCAGTGGTTGATGTAGTGGTATGAGTCCACAATAATCCTAGTTGTTGGCTCCCAAGCAGGCCAGTGACCTTGCCTGACAATATGCTTGAGTAAGGCGCACCCCTTGTCAATGGCAATGTAGCTGGGGCGTGAGGCAGGATCAGGATAGACATCTTCAAGGAACCGAAGAATCTTGGCCACCCCTTCTGACTTGGCAAACTTGCGCCAGGCAAGGACCACACCACATGGAGCACAGATGGTCTCCACGCAGTAGTACCTAGGAGCAGAGAAGTAGTTGTTATACTTGCTGCCACTGACCTGTTCAACCTCCTGCTCTGCAAGGTCATCATGCTCTGGCGCCTCTGCTCCTCCACCAACAGGCAACCATTCCTGTCTCTCCTCCTGAGCTCTTCTCAACATCCGCTGCACTCCAAGAAGTGAGGTGTTGGCATATTGCCTGCGAAATGTGGCCCACTGCCCCTGGTGATCTTGACAGGCCTTCGTGTCACCAACCTTGACCTTGCCACATCCCTTCATATGGCACTTGTTTTCCATCCTCTCTGCATGCCTCTTGCAGAACACCCCAGTTTGGGCATTCTCAAGTCCTGCCTCGCACCCTTCCATTGCGCAATGTCGTGGCCCCATGACAATTCCATCAATGACAATCATGCAGACCTCTCCATGATTGCCAGGTGCAACAGGGCCAGTAGGCTGAACCACAGCAGCAGGCTGGTTGTCAACCTCCATTGCATCTGGATCAACAGGTTCCCCTGCATAGTCTGGAACAGCATGATTTTCATCATGGCCAACAACTGCAGCAGGGTCATTGGGTTGCCTTGGAATGACATCAGCAACATCCTTGAATGCATGACAACACTCATCGCAAGAATGTCCCTCTGCACTGCGGATAACTCCATTGTCGCCAAGTTCAATGTAGGCAGCAGCAACCAGAGCATTGATGGAGATTGTCTTCAAAGACAATCTGGCGCTTGTTGAACTTAGCCATCTGCCGGATAGACTCCTCCACAAAGGCCTTCCAGACTTGTCGACGTCCAAGTTTGAAGGTACCTCCACTTGGCTTGACAAATGAGAAGTTCCAAAACTCGGTAATGGCAGCAGTGGAAGCATGGAAGCTGTAGTTGGCATTGACGATAGCCCCAGAGACAGTGTGGTCGACCCAGACACTTTTGCCAACCTTGAGATACTTGGCATTGTTGAGGTACAAGCACAAGTCATCACCGTTGTTCTGGGTGAACCGCTCGTGATCTGCCCAGTAAAGTGAATTGCAGGAAGAGCATCTGCCAGCCAGAACAGGGACTTTCTCCAAGCACTGACTCCCCTTGAGCAATGTGACATGAGCAATATCACGTTCCCGGAGGTCTTGAGTAAGGCTATGGTCGTTACAGTCAAGAGTTGGACAAGCCATGATGATGGGCGTGATAAGAATGATGGGTTGAATAGAAGCAGTGGAGATGGGGCGAAGTTTGGACTTGAAATTCCCAATACTGGAGTGTGAAGCAAGAGACAGAGAGCGGCTGAACCGGCTGAGTTTCTTGCCTGCAAGCGTAATTTGCTGCTGCTCAGATCGTGAAGTCCGTAAGTCGTCAGTGGTGAACAGGGAGACAAAGCCACTGTCAGAGAGCTTTGCTTTGACAGCACGGACCAGGGCAGCCATCCAGCTAGTAGACTCCTGTTGCTGAGAAGCCTGCTGTTGTCCATGAAGGTTGAGGAGATCTGTATTACTGACAAGAGTCATCAGAAGCATTAAGACAGTAGACAGCTTGATCTTGGGACCAAAGTTGTCCTGAATGCTTTGAGCAAACTCGGTGAAGAGCATGTTTGGGAAAGGATCTTGTTTAGGTGCTGCAGCAACACATGGAACAAGTCCAAGCAAGAACCACACCACTAGCAGCATCATGTAGGTCTGTAAACAGAAACTAGGCAAATGAGCACGTGTTCAGACAGAATATGATGGAGACTCAAGCAAGAAATGGTGCAAAATATATGCAATTTTCAATAAATATAGTAGTACAAAGATATATGCATAGGGAGAAATTCTAGGTTGTATGAAGCTGATGACTTACTTCGATTTGGATGGCCCAGCCTTCTTCTTTGCAGACCTCTTCTCCTCCTTCTTCTGCTCAGTGTTGATCCGTTCCACCAGTTGGCCCAAGGTAGCCTTGCCAGGCTTGACTGCACCCCACAATTTCTTGTAGATGGCCGAGCCCACTCCAGCATCACCCTCCAGATATGTGAGAATATCTGGATGCTGAATGGCAGCCAGAAAGAGGGGATTGTAGTTGCTGAAGCTGCTGGGATTCATGTAGATGGCGCGGGTGTTTTCGACATTTGGAAAGGGAGGAAGAGGAGGGGATTTGGGATCGTGAGCGTCATATTTGGCCTTGAGTCGTTCTTGAGCAGTACTGGCAGCTTTCCAGTGCTCATACGCCGATATGATGTCCCCATCGTTGGGCTTGGTGTTAGGAACCAAGGAGACTGGGACCTCAAGAAGAACGGCGTACGGGATCAGGTGCTGCTTGGTGGAATTGTAAGGGGACACTCCTATTTTCTCTCCTTTCCTTCATCCCATGGACTCTTACCTACATTTCCTTTGTTCCCCTTTGTTCCTTTTCGCTTCCTTTCCTTTCCACTTCCTTCCCGCCCACTCCTTTCGCATCCGAGCCATGTCCGGTGACTCCGGAGTCTTCCCACGCCTCGGACTCGCCTCGGACTCGCTTTGGACACCTCGGACTCGCTTTGGACACCTCGGACTCGCTCGGACGCTTCGGACTCGCTCGGACTCGTAGATACACTTCGGGGCTCGTCCGGGCTACCTCTATCCTCCTTTCCCACTTCATTACTCCTTGTCCCCACTTCCCCAGGTCGCCGGCACGACTCCTGTACATCCCCCTTCCACTTCATTATCACATGTTTCCTCGTACCTTGTGATATTCGTTCGGACCTGTGGCTGGTGTACTGTACAGTTACCCTTCATTCCTCCCACGCTACTACAGTATATACTTCGCTTCCTAGCATGGAGAATCCTTATCCTGTTCTCTTTGGATTCTCCCTCTGCTAGGTGAGCAGCTCTCTCATGTATTGTAGTTAGTCTTATTCATTACTTTGGATTCTCCCTCTGCTAGGCCTGCGCTGTCAGCCATCTTGAGGTTGCCCTTACAGGAATAAGCTGCACGGATGTGGTCTGGAGCTGGCGGAAGTGCACCTGCAGTAGCAACACCAACAGATGAGATGGATGCTGAGGGCGCAATAGATGAGGGCGCAATAGAGCCACCAGAGTGGGCAACTGAGCTGCCAGAGTGAGTTGATATGAGAGAAGGAGGAAAGGCGGGAAAGGCCAAAGTAGATGCTGCAGGGAGGGGCTCCTGATTTTGTGAAGTTAGAAGTGCTCAGACGCAGATGAAGACAAGCTTACCAAAAGCATGAGCAACTTGAAGTCATTATTCCAAGTCACATCCATGTCATCCTCTAGCGCAAGGGCAAAAGGACCAGCGACCTCCCATTCCCCATCAACATCCAAGACTGAAATAGCAGACTCTACATATTCAGATCAGCAAGCATATTAGATGAGAAGGGAGTTGAATGACTAACCTGTCACAGTCGGAAATTTCCTGGTCAGAATCTTGAGGATTGGTGCCAGCGTAGGAAAGCGGG